TAGGTGAAGAATGAATCCATATACATCTGTACGATTTAATCTGAGTCGTGTCATCTAAGCAAATAATCAACCAGTTATTGTTACATCTATCAACACAGCTCAGAAAACTCCCAATGACAGTATGAACTGAAGTCACATTGTTGTGTGATTGCCTTAAGTTTTCTTCCAACTTATTTCTACTTCAGTCAGCATTGAGTGCCACGTTTACGGTGGCTGGACTTGCGTAACATGTTTCAGTTCATAAAGACTCACATTGTTATCGTATAATATGCCCAGGAATCTAGGCTTAATATCAACCTTACTGATTCAGTAATATCAAAATACCTAAACAATGCTCTAAAGATACCTATAATCAAATACTTTTAGCATACAAGTGTTTTATAGCCATAGAATAACGCAAAACTGACTGCTTTGTAGTATACTTGTCCCTCTTTTGATAGGTGAAAATCGCACCCGCTCTTCCAATGATGCCGTTTGGCAAAAGCCAAGGTATAGTCAGCTATCAGCACTGGTAATTCTTTCAACATACATGAACTAACTGGTCAACATTCTTAGCTGCTTCGTTCTGTACAATCAATCTAAGCAATGACACAGACTAGTTCTGAATCAACGGGAGGAAGAAAACTTCATTCGAAATGCTTTTTCATTATTACTCTAGATTTTCAAGAGACTACATTATGTCAGCGTTTTCAGCAAGCTAAACTATGTAATCTGTGTACTGCAGCAATGAGATCAATCCTTAAAATGTTAGATGACTTCTATGATTTCTAAAAAGGGGTATCTATAATGACACTAAAATAGTTGTCCATCCTGAAAAGTATCATTTGATATTGTCAACTCTTATTTATTTATTTCATTTATTTGAACACATAAATATTGGTACAAGAGGGCATTAAATATATATGCACCACACTTACTACTGTTAATATCGAGGGAATCCAAACGGGATGGACATATGCCAATAAGAGACTGATCAATGCCAATCCTTAGCATCGATGTGAAGATACATATATATCTATGAATTAAAGTTATAATAAATAGATGTTTATTATATGTATCACTTGTTTACTAACACAACATTTCTGTTTTTTTTTGTTTCTCTGTGCGTTTATTTTATTAATAATTTAGATCGATCCATCGATTATTGGTGGTATGGTAGTTAGTATCGGTGATCGTTTTGTTGATATGTCAATTGCTCGAAAGATTCGCTCACTTCGCGGAATAATGGAACAACCAATTTAAAAAGTTATATAGGTCGAATTTTGAAAGATAAAAAAAAACATATAGTTATATATATATATAAATTTACATTGGATCATTTGACTTGTAGTCTACTATGTAATTAATAATAATTACCTTTGAAAAAAAGTTTGTATGATATTGTTGTTTTTATGCTGATTTTGTTTCTAATTAGTCATAGAAAATGCAGCATTTAGCACATGTATGTTTCGATTCATGTTGTCACAATGTATTATGGACCGCGAGGTGGCTACTTTAATTTCTACCGACTGACCAACTTCAGATATCCCAGTACGACCACAATACTGTTCCCCAATCTCCAATATATCAGAAGACGAACCGTCGATAAAATTGTTTATGGGGTCAGGAGAAGAATAGAAATAATACTTTATAAACAAATGCATATTTATACAGTTAAGACTACCATAAATATTGACCGATAGGGAAGTGACACCATTTCACGTTCAAGGATAACATTAGACTTGACAGAATAATTTTTAAGATATTTTTCTGAATATCCCAACACAATGTATTAGTACAAAAAGATGAACTCATCAAGCTGCACACCAGATTAATGTAAGTAGTCGTATCTATGATAGTAAGAAATAGTATTTTAAGACATCGAGTGAATAAATGTACTCCACTGCAGCTGATTTTAAGCCATGTCATCCAAAATCTCCATTCATTGATTACAATAATTGCGTAGGTAGTGTACACTTAATAACACAGTCCGATTCAACAGTCAATCACTTCATGAACTGATACAATCTGCATTTAATAATCGTTAGCTTCCTTTCACTCTTACTCCAGAAACCATCACCTGTCGATATATGCAGTGATAAACATATGTAATAGATGTCCCGATTACATTAGTCGATGGAGATTCAATACATCAACCGATTTACTGTTTATTCGGTACTACTTGTCTTATTTCAACATTGCAAGTTAATTAATCTACAATGGTTTGGACTATTTTGTTGTTGATATTTAATCATCCAGAACTCAGGAGCTTAGTGGAAAATGCGTCGGCGTTTGGAGCGAAAGGTCTGAGTCCCATAATGGACATCAGCGATGCGATCCAGGTATATTCAACTAACCAGTCCCAAATAGCATGAGACGCGTGTTCTGGATTTCTCACACTAAAATAACAGGCAGCAAAATTAACAAATCCTGTCTATTATCTTAATCATTGGATACCAGTCTGTCTGTTGTTTTTTTATAATTCGAAGGACGATTCTTATCGACATTCACGATGTCAATGTGGTTTTTTATTTACAGTATGTCTGGCCATTTCCAAAAGCCTGTTGTTACTCGGCATTCATAACGTCTCTTACATAGTAATAAGTATATACACATTAATGAAAGTACAAGTTTAGAAGCAGATGTTGCTTTATCAATGAAAATCAAATCAACCATTATATTTAGTTTTGTATCTCACTGAAGTCGCAGTGTCCTTGAGAGGCTAAAATATTCCTGAAGTAACTACGCTCAACACAGTTGTTTTCTTATAAAATAGGTAAGCATACTATCATATCCACCATATAGTTCCATAAAGGATATGTTTATCAATTAGAAACGTTTTAATGACGCGATATACATAAAAGTTGTCTCTGTATTTAGAATTTAACCGAAAAATCAGTTGTATCTCGGATCTGATTAGTTCCTTAGAAAAGTCAAGTTTTGATAAAGCATTTATCTGGTGTATTTGGTCTATAAACAAAATAAGTGACAATAGTTGAAGTTCCTAACAAACTGTAACGTCTAGTATGTTCATAAGATGAAGTAAAACTATTGATCTAAATTATGATTATCCAATGGTATAGTTTATTCGTTGAATAAAATCATTCGTTTGAACAATAGATGCTTTACTACCCTTATAGCAAAATAAATACAATTCATAAATTTGACCTAGCGTTTTCAGCGGTGAACTAGAGTCACCATCGAAAATTCAAATCAACACGACACAATTGCATCGATAATCTTAATTATGATGCATAATAAGAACTGTACGGTATTCTACATGCCTGCAACAATCTACCAATCAAAACAGGAATAATTTTACTGTCATTCTGTCAATATGTATCACGGCATAGTTCACTGAACTGAAATAAATGAACAGTATACAACTGTTATTGGTTTGTTACGTAGATTAGGTGAAAAGTAAATAATTTATTAAGGGAAAAAAATCACCTGGTTTTGAATAACTTATTTTAATGTCATTCTTATTCCCATAGATATATTATCCTAATATCTAAAAGTAAATAGGACACCATTCAAATGTGTTACCTAATAAATGGAACTTGTTAGTGGATATTCACATTCAAAATATCATGTATTAAGAAATTAATCCTGAAAATCCACAATGATATATAAGTATTCATGATCAGTCGATCTTTAATGAAGTTTTATTCGTATTCAAATGTTTAGTTGAATAAACATTAAAATCAGCCGTGACCTGTGGGGCTAATCTGTGTCAGATAGAGACTAAAATGGAAGATGGTCGCGCAATTTCGTGGATTGGTTGATGTTAGACACTAACATTATTGGATGCCAACTAAGTGGTCCAGTAGGTTAAGCGTTCGCTTGCGAGACTGAAGGTCCCGGGTTCGAGTCCCGTAAGCGGGATCGTGGATTCGCACTGGCGAGGAGTCCCACAACAGGAGGAAATAGCTGTCCAGTGCTTCCAGGTTTTCAACGGTGGGCTAACACCAATCGGTTCATGATCTTAATAAAAAAAAACAATCATTGAGTTCTGTTGGTCCGAGATCTTTATCAAACAAATTTTCTTGACAAGACTTATGACAAATGACGAAAGGGTTGTTGTATTCTGGTTCGAATAGTCTTTCGATTATTATCCAGCAAAAAAACAAACAAACAACAACGAAACACGACTGTTTTACCCACTAAACTAAGTGTATATAATACAACTACTACTAATCACAGACTTTAATACACAATGATATATCTTTCTTCAGAGAGGTTGATTCGCAGAATCTATAATAACTTTGGTATACAATTATTTTACAATACACGATGATGATTCACAAATATTATATATATATATGAGTATGTTTGTGTACATGATAATTTATCTTCACAAATTTACAAATAGGGAAAGCAGAACAAAATAAAAACATTAGATCTTATTTACTGTTTATTACACATTAATAAAAAGAAGCATGATAATAACTGACAGTGAATGTACGAATGTATATATAATATGTAAACAGATGTGATACATTAGGACTTTATACATATAGATCGACAAAATTGTCGGTAATGAGATGAAATAGATGATGAATATAAAGTATGATTAGATCAACAAGTGGAGTAAACAAAGATAAACAAGAGTAATTTAACATAAACAAAGATATACATATATAATATTTACAGTTTATAATTCGGGTCTTAAAAAAAACAACCAAATATGTTTTTATAAAAGTAACCCGAGATCAATAAATGAATAAACTTATAGAAGTAAGTAGATAAACATGAGGCTTTTCTTTTACTTTCAATAGAAAATCAAATGATTTCGAATTTTTTTTTAATTAAAAAAAAAGTAATAAAAATGTACATTAGATTGGTAAACTACTAATTGCCAATATCAGTAGTAATAAAACAATGCATAAGCGTAAAGCTGCCAACGGCAATTGTGCACAAAAGAGAAAAAAAAGGAATTTAAATTGATATACAAATAAAATCTGAATGCTGCGTTCAATTCAATTAACGAAATAGGTATTCATTCATTTTACTATTATTTCTTATAAATTCTCTTCTTTAAATTGTTTCATTTTTTGAACAAATAATGCTTCAACAATTTCGGTACAATTAAATTCTGGTGTATCTTTTGGATAGATTAAACGTGAATTAGTGAATAGACGATTCATATCAAATGAGAAATCTCCCAAAGTTTTGTAAACATCAGTTTTTAAATTTATTATAACGGAGGGAAGATCTAATTGTTTAAAATAGAAAAAAGTAAACAAACATTTGACAACAAGAAAATAATGCTCACGAATATCGCATAAGACTAGATTAAAAATTTCTTATATTTAAATTATATATATATTCTCTTCAGCTTCCAGCTAAAGAGGAAATCAGAAAAAGACAATGGAAATGGATAGGACATACATTACGCAAATCGTCAAACTGCATCACGACGAAAGCCCTAAGTTGGAATCCTGAAGGGAAGCGGAAAAGAGAAAGGCCAAAGAACACATTACGTCAGGAAATAGAAGCAGATATGAAAAGGATGAATAACAACCGGAAAGGACTGTCTGGGACAGGGTTGGATGGAGAATGCTGATGAGTGGTCTATGCTCCTTCACAAGGAGTAACAGGCGTAAGTAATATATATATATATATATATATATATATATATATATATATATATATATATATATATATATATATATATATATATAACCACTGTCACAGAATCCCTACCCACTGCCTTTTCGTGGAGATGTTGTTTACGAAATTGAGAGGACGGAGATCGAATAGAAACCACTTAAATAGAGGGTTGTTGGGTACGCAGGATCTATTTAGGAGAGTTGGAATACCCTGATTTTAGACCATTGTTGAACAAGGGTTTCAGGACTTTGAGGAGACAAATGGTATATTAAATTTTTCTCGGTTATCGGCTACCTTAGTATTGTATATCCTAAAATCGCCCCACTGATATATGAATTAGACTTCCGGGACCCCTGAGGAAACCACCTGCCTCCATTTAGGAACCGGGTAGTATTCCAACCAATTTACAAATTCAAGTATTTGTGACATATACATATTTTTCTACCCGTTTGTAAACCAATAAATACACAATTCTGTATGAAACAATATACAGCAAACAGATAGTGATTTTGGTATTCATGACCGTGAAATGTCCATAGTTTTTTTCCAATGATAGCTGATTAAATATTTTGTGAATATAGACATACGTTACACAATTGAGTTAACATATGCTTAATTACAAAATTCAAACAACTCGTGATACAACACGACGAATAATACATTTCTTTGGTATTGATGATCTATCTAATGCCCGACATAGCAAAACTTTTAAAGGAAACCACTAATTGGCAGTAAAATCTATACTCTTATAGGGCAACTATTAACGTATTATTATTGGAGGAAGAAACGTTGACAAAGCAATCACTAATTGTGAACAACAGTGATTAAGATAAATTAGCGTCATATATAATATGAAGGTTCTTTTATTTTGATTTCATATATCATTTGAAAGAAGAAATAAAACGATTAACTTACTAAATGCATCATCTAAAGACTTAGCAATTGGAAATTTCAAAGGATCCGGACTATGAATAAATGGCCATGACATTTTATGTTGCTAAAACAAGATATCCAACAAATAAAATTATAAAAATGAAAAAGAAAAATGTATATGACAATCTTAATAAAAAAGTTTATATGTGCTAATAATAACCAACTTAAACGTAATTATTAATTAAAATCACATATAAAACTGTAAGTTGAATTCTATGGTAAGACAGTTCTATTCACTGTCATTAGTTATAAGGTTAGTACAATCTACAGTATACTTCATCAATTGGTTCAAGAGATCACATCATCTTAGCATAGTATAATGAAATTATCAAAATAAATGTCAAAAAGTAACTAGAAATATTAAAGAGGAAGAATGTTGTATTAGTAAAATGTCAGTGAAAGAATTTGAAATAAATTCAACGTTTCACCTGACAATCTGATCCAAGCTTTTTCAAGGAAATAGTTTTAAGAATAGTAGAACAAAACATCAATATATAGAGAATACAATTCGAAGAAAAAAAGAATAGAAGAATTTCTTGAATAAAAAGTATAATATAATATAATTATGAAATAATAAATTTACAGTCAGTCAGATACAACGTAGGACCAGGAACATATATGCATCGGTCCAAGTTGCCATACCTCATTAACACAACAAGATGGACAGCAGATTCATAAAAGTAGCTAATTCAGAGGTGGTAATATATAAAAGAAAGGTTGCAATAAGGCTATAATACAGCAAGAAAGAATTAGTTCGTAGAAAGAAAGATATGAAGCGATTTTAATCTTATAGTTTAAGGGAAGACGGAGAGTGTATACACCGATGCCATTGTGATCGATTCTGAGCCATGTCACCAAGAGTCTCCAACCATTGGTTACAAGGGAAGATGGATATAATGGAATGGCCCCATCAGAATAAGACAAACGTTCACATATATAGAATGAAACAAATTCGGCGAGACTCTAATTTATGGACGATCTTTGAACGAATCTTAAGTAACCTTGAGAAATATTAGCCAATCAGCAAACAGTCATTATAGAGTAAAAATATTATACAAAACCAAGGAAATAAAGTGGATACACTTCTTATACGTGGTTCAAAAACTTGTCAAGGTTAGAAAGAGGTTCAGAGGTTCTAAAATCGTAATGCATGCAGTAGAGGAAATCATCCATACGGCTACAGAATAGTCGGCCTCTGGAGTCATGATAAAGTCTCAAAAACTCATTCAGCCTCGACCACATAGTTTCAATATTGTTTGTGTGCATTCCGGTTGTTGAGTGCACAAAATCCTACTTGTGGGTAACGACACGATGCACATAACCAATCCTATGTAGAAGTCTGTACACTTACCAAACATCCGTATATATTATAGCACCTGGTTGCAGCTAGTGTTACTGTTGCTTTTATTACTCAGTTCGCAATAATTGTCGTAATTTGCCTTAGTTAGAAAATGTATATGGAGTTTTAATCACGAACTGACATCAGCTATAATACCAGAAATTTATTTAGCAAATGGATTGATTCGTCCACAAATTATAGTCTCGCCGTTTTTTTTGTTATAGTAGCTCAATTATCACGTTTTGTACTAAATTCCCTGTGAACCGATCCTACGTTACCATTAAGCACTGAATTTGGCACCGTAACCTTGAAATCTCTAAAACGCCTCTGGTCGGCTCGTCCGTAAATTAGAGTCTCGCCACTAATTCTTATGAAATAAACATGTAGAATATATAAATGAACTATGAAATTAAGAAAACACTTATTATATATATATATATATAAAATGGGGGAAACTCACTTTAATTTCTTCAATTAAATTAATTAATTTCTTTATTCTATCTGAAGTTAGGTTAGTTTCATAAATAGTTTTCGTAGCACCAGTTTGGTCAACAACAGTAACTGCATTATGGTTATTGTTAGATCCTTTCGACTTTTTCGATTTACCAGACGATTTCGTAGTAATATTCGTTTTATGTTGTGATAGTTGACAACAAGTTGGACAAAGATATGTATCTGTATGATTAACAGCTTGTTCAGGTGTTAAACCAACGCATTCAGGATGATACCATTCATCACAACCATCACAAGCAATATATACTCTGGAGATTAGTAGTAACAATAGACAAAAAAACGAATAGCAATTATACAATCCATTTCATATTGCGTAACACAGTTAAGTGGAACATTTGTAATAGAACAGAAAAAACCATTTACAAATAATCAATATCAGGGCAGTGGCACAGTAGTTGATGCGTTTGACTTCCAACCATGCACCGTTTAATTCGATTCGGACGACAAGGTAGTATTACTAGCTCTAACTTTTTGAGAGTGGTCTGGAAATGAGTACATAAATCCGGACCTGGTAAATGAGTTGATAATAATGTCATGTTCGTTTAGTCGTTGGTGTCCCAAATACCTCAGCGGCATTGTCTCGGATTGTGAAACTGTGTATGTGGAGCGGGTCTGAATCTCATAGGGAGCATTAGTTCCCTTAAGATTCCAAGTATATGTTTTTGACCAGTTCTAACTAGCACGAAACCTAAATCAAAAAGTTTCCGTCTGACTATCTTCTTAACAGAAAAAACCACTACAATACTGATCTAGTTTAAATAATGTAACAGTGATTGAAATAAGTTTATTCATCTGATGCTTCTGACTAATTATACCAATATAAACATTTGATATTCCCTTCATTTACAGTTTATTTTACGAAACTTTATATTTAAAAAGTAACCGCTACATTGTGATGCCTTCTATTTCACAATCAATACATTCAGTCAGATAATTATAGTGACATGTTACCCAGCAAAGAGGAAAGTAGGTGAAGCGGGGTCCAAACTTGAGAATACTAAACAGTTGAAAGTCAGTTGGTTTACGTCATTGAATTTACTGATGGAAATTATAACCGCGCTGTTCGTATTCATAATTTAGATAATACTGTATCAAACAACTAAGAGTAATAATAAATCAACGCCGTTTCTTTTTGTTTTGAATTAATTCAATTTCAAGTTCATTAAGTTCGATAAAACTGGTAAACAAACCATTCTTAGCTGAAAACGGATATGAATACACGGTTGCTAAACAATATACTGGCCCGTTTATGAACTAAAAAACATGTCTAATAATAATCTAATACATATAAGATTAAGTTCCATGAGAACTAACTTATAAAAGTGAGTAATTCAAAACAATGATTTGATTTCCCACTTCTGTTAAACCAAATATAGATATATAAGACAACCGACTAATAATTAGGGAAATAACACATTATTATTCAAAATATAGAAATCCAATATGTTTAAATTTTAGATTGACAGAGCGAAATACACATATATAAAAACAAGTATAACAATTATTATTTACCTCGTTGGTTCATATGGTGTACGACAAACACAATAAAGCATTTCATTAGCTTTCAATTCAGCTTGTTTGCAATCAGGACAATGCCAAGAATCACCTAATTTATCAGAATCTTTAGGATCTAAACCAACACATTCAAAATGAAACCAATCTCGACAAAGATCACAACCGATATATTCCCTAGAGTAAATTAAATAACACATAAAATGTCTATTGATTCCAAACAACTTTAATTCAACATTAAATATATAAACTTAACTAAGGTAATGAACTAATAAATATAGGTCCTGGTTTCGAATCTCGTGGAACAGGATCGTGGATGCACACTCCTGAGGAGTCCCATGGTGGTCTAGCTTCAACTGACTCATAATCTCAATTATTCAAATTACTATAATATCAATAAAACCCCTTTTGATATTAATAAATATATTTTTGTGACATCCCAATGAATAGAAAATTCTATTTCTGACGTTTCACGATTTAATATAAGTCACTTCTTCAGAGTTAAATAATAATCGAATTAAGTTAACACAAGTTTAAATAGTACATTATTTAAGCCATGAAATTACTTTATGGCAGTAAAACATGGCCGATAAGAGTAGAGGATATTCGTAGGTTGCTAGTATTCAATCATAGATGTCTTCGAAATATTGCTCGTATATCCTGGGACCATCGAGTAAGTAATGCAGTTGTTAGGAAACGGGTACTGTGTAAGGATAACAAATCAATTGATGGAGTAGTGAATTTTCATCAGTTGAGATGGATGGGACACGTGTTACGTATGCCCAACGACTGACTGCCTCGACGTGCGATGTTCAGTGGTATAGGAGTAGGTTGGAAGAAAGCTAGGTGAGGCCAGACCAAAACATGGCACAAGTCCATGAAGTCACTGACAAGTGGACTGAGCCATGTTGGTAGGTGTAGACTACCTGGTTGGTGACAGCGAGATGATAGCAACTGATGGTTAGAGATCCTAAATGACTTGGCTCAAAATCGTTTGCAATGGTGTGAGCAGGTGCATTTACTCTTTGTGTTCTCTCAAATTCTAATCTTCTGAATTCTTCATGTCCCTTTTCTTCTGTCTTTTCAAATTCATTTCAGTAGACTATACTCTATGAATAACATCTTCAAAGCCTAATCTTTCGGATTACTGCTTATACTCTGACTACCTCTACCACTACGGGATTTGAATCGATAACTGCAACTCTGTGGTAATGTGGTATGGCAACTCAAACTGATGTGCGTACGTACGAAGTTCCACGTTGCTACTGACTGACTGAAGCCATAAAACGTTTAAAGTATGATATTTCTACTCATTGGAATATAACAAAAAATAGATTTATTATTAACTTAATATGCTTAATTTATTTGAATCTATTAAGTCCAAACCTGGGTATCGATACCTGCATTTTAGTGAACTGTTTAATAATGCACGTTGACAAACGAAGGATATAGTAATTGAATCTTAGGAGTTTAAATAAACGGAATTATGCATATTTAAATAGTGATTACAAATAGATATCTAATGAATGAATCGTTCTTGCATGACATGTCATTTTGACTTCTTTAATTTAGTCTCTTCTCTACGTAGCCAAGGATATCTAGTCTTAGTGCTATATCTGGACATTTCTAAAGCCTTTGACATGGTTGGCCACCAACTTCTTATAGGTAAACTCGCATCCTATGGGGTTCAAAATCCTTTGCTTGCTTGGTTTGATTCCTTTCTCAGCAATCGACGTCAAATAGTTAAAATTAACTCTTCATTGTCTAACGCTGTCCCTGTTAGAAGTGGTGTAATACAAGGTAGTGTCTTAGGTCCTTTGCTCTTTTTAGTGTTTATCAATGATATTTGCGAAAGTTTTTATGTCAGTAAGCCCCTTCTATACGCAGATGATCACGCGATTCAATATGCAGAAACTTCTCATTATGACATCCGTAATACCTTGGCACTAGTGTAACAAACTCATTTTAAATCATCTCTTTATATGAATTACTTCACCTGTAAATTTTCTAGACTATGGAATAACCTACCACAATCTATCCGCACGATAAAATCACTCCCATTATTTGTTCGCTGCATCGATGCATACTGCTCATCTGAAAACTTATTGAATGGTCTAGCACCTGCAGGTGTATCTCATTCCACAAGTGATATTTTAGGAACCTTAAATGTTTAGCCATCTTTATTAGTGAATTCTCAACCAGTGGATTGAAAATTTTTCCAATCAATATGCAACTCTATCTAGCTATCCTTATGTAGTCTGACAACTTGGAACTATATATATATATTTGTCAGATTATAACGTTGTTTGTTTATCACTGGTTGGGTAATTGTTAATTCAATTAATAATACTGCTATATATATCGTGATTTCTAAACACAAATCTCACCTTGATGGATTATACGGAGTTTTACAAACACAATACACTGAAGAATTAGAAGATACATCCTGTAAAACATTAGTAATTGATTCGATTTGTGTTTCGTTTCTGTCAGATTTTTCAGAGAACTTGGCACGGCCTCCTCCTTTATTACTACGTCCAGTGCCACTAGTACTACTACTTCCTCGCTTAGAACCACCCTGACCTACAGAAGATGATTTTGGTGATTTCATTGATCCTGTAACATTATAATTGTGTTCACTAGCATCTGAATTTGTAGACTCCTGTTTCAATCTCTTTGTTTTTGTACCAGATGAACGACTGGTCTTACTTGAAGCCTAAAAACATTAGAAAAATATATAAATATATATACACGAAATAAAAATAACGAAAACACAAGAAATTAAAACTATACGATACAACATAAAGAATCATTATATTAAAAAAGAAAAATACTGGTAGTGAAGGAGCACTCAGATGAACGAGATCAATTTATTGTTTAATACAAAATCAGAGTGCCTTGGTAAGATACGAAAACCATACATTAAATATATCATTAGTATATCATGCAATAGTTGTTACTTACAAACTTCATGCTTCTTCAAATTCCTCTGTTTCCCTTTATGTTGTCATCAGTTCTATCTTTTCAGTCTTCTACTACTGCCAGACATTACACTTCTGACTGGTGTTACATTATTTCATTTATTTATTCAAACACATGAACATTGTTACGAAAAGGCAACAAATAGATGTGCGCCACACTACATCATTAGATTGGCGTGAGTGTCTAATCCACAGGGCAATGAAGCAATGTCAAGAGATGTAGTGCAATGTTAGCCGGTGACCAGCAATAAGTTCATACGCCATTTGATTCTTAAAGATACTGAAGCCCATGTGCACCAATCGTTCGGAATCAAGGTTTTTCAACCTCCCTAGGTGGATCCTCCATATTAACCAACCCGGTTAAAGCACCGGACATTCGCTTTTCGTCCTCTCGATTTCGTAAACACACCCTCCGCGAGAAAGCAGTGAATAAGATATATCTAGCAGTGGTTGTATGCACGTGGCTATATGAGAGCATTTCAAGAGAGAGAGAGTGGACTCTCCCCACTTCTCTTGGCTGTACCAGGGCATTTGGGGGCACATATTACTTACATCTATCAACATAAGTTGCATAATCCATAATACGATTGAAATTAGCATTATATTTAAACAACAAAGGAGATAAAGAAAAATAACCAAATATAAATAAACTAACTGTTGATTTCTGTTGACAAATATTATTTTCATAATCATCACCTAAACCAGGTGATGTACTTGCAGTAGAACAAGAACTATGAGTAGTAATAGTAGTAGTATTATCATCATCGTCATCATCTTTATCATTATCACTATCTTTCTTATTATTTGTTAATAATTTATTTGATGATTTAATAGATAATTTCATAGTTAAACGATTTTTATTGTTTATTCTATTTGAAGATTGTTTTATTGTAGTTTTATTATATGATTTAGATAATTTAATAAATTCATGATTTAATGCACTTTTTCGTGGAATACGATTATTTGCTAATAATTCAGATTGATTAATTGGTTTATTATTATTAATTAAATAAGGATTTTTATTTTCATCATCACTAGAAGATAATGATGATGTTGGTGATGATGATGAAAATGTCGGAGTAATTTTTCGTTTTGTACGTTTATGATGAACATCATTCTTTTTATTTGTAATAGCAGTAGTAGTAGTAGTAGTGATGGTGGTATCATTTTTGGTTTTACTAGGACGTCCAATTTTCTTTTTTGGTATTAATGTTGATGATGATGATTTATTAAGTTGATTAACAATATTAGATCGACTTTTTTGTGTCAGTAATTTTTCACCGGTTTGATGATGAGGATGTGTTGATGATTGTTCTAATTTTTTTGAAGAATTCTCATTAAATTTATCTGCCTTAGAGATTTGTTGTGCTCCTTTGATTTCATTAACAGCAATCTGTAAAAGAGAATTATTTGTTTTATAAATTAATATATGAGAATTATAACAGAAAAAAATGACACTGCCTTTGACAGACGAATATATAAATATATATATGACATTTATACGGAATAGATAGAATGCGAATAGCAATGGAATCCAGTAAGTTCTCTTCATTCCATCATGAGTTCTTCAGCTGGATGTATCTGAGTCCAAGAGTTGACGTCCATTCCGAGACTTAAACCCAATACTGTTTGCTTCAAAAGCCACTGCGTTATCCACTTAGTTACTGAGTCCTGGAGTGGATATCAACAATAGAATGCAGGTATATCTAGCTGACGAATCCCAAACAGAACGAATCGCGCGTCCTGAATTCCACTGCTAGCCACATTTGAATTTATTTTATATCAACTTGTCTCATAATGACTATATAAAAGAAATTTGGAAAGAATGATCATATACCAAACAAGACTGATGAAATTTCAGTCAAAAATATTCATGACGGGATAATCCAAACCATTTCCATTTGACATTTGTTTGGATTTTGAAATTCGCCAAATATTAAAACAAACGTCATTTGAAATAAGGTTCATCATCACTTAGAATAATCATGAGAATTTAGGTAGTTGTATATGTTCACTACTTTATATATCATTGGGAGTTCCATCAACCTTAATGAACTAGTCAGACAGAAAATAGTTATGGATTTTGTTCAGTTGAAAGACGTATTTCAAAGAAGAGAGTAGTACAAAGAGAGTAGTATGGCGTTCACCATCTCATCATGTATTATTCTCTGATTATGAAACATTAACTATGAAAGCAGAAGACAAACATAGGGTGCAAGTTTTTGATAATGTATATCGTTGAAGTACTGTTTTTGTATGATGAAACAATTGAGTGATTAATGTTGAGGCTAGGGATATGGTATTAAACAAGGATAGTAAACCGATCAGAGAATGTGAATATTCTTTGTTATCCCGAATTATCAATTAAAAAAGCATGATTTTTTAACTTAAGGGTGTGGATTTTCAAATGTTTTTGAATATGGGTGAAGGAAAATTAATTGGCAATAGTACTGAAACTATCTTAGAGCATGTAGAATCAAATACACACTCTCGTTGTTTGAGATGTTAAAATTCATCACGCTAGAATACCATTATTATTGTTATTCAATTATGGTATGTAGTCCATATGGTACATAAAAAAACGAAACACACACAAGCTACCAGTACTATGGGAAAATTTACAACTGCTTGTCTGATCACTGAGTAGTGACCTACAGCATATATAACCAGCCCTTCTTAGTGCTGCTCCTACATACACACATATCTCAGCTGTACGGAAGGTCATTCAAAGCCGGAAACGCTAAGTAGTAACGTCTCTGACTGTGAAACTGACTGACATGGGATCGAATTCGCCAGAGAACACCTGTTTCTTCAAGATTACAGGTAAATCTCGTTGACCAGTGCCCAAGAGCAAAAAAGCAAAGTCAGGCAGGATTGTCTGTCGACTACCCACAAATACTACTTTAATATAGATAAACTGAGCACAAAAAATTTTCAGGTGAATAATATCAATTTTACAACATTCAAATATGCTGAAAGAATAATAATGAAATACAACAGATAATACAAATGATGAATCAAACTTACATCAGCAAGTGATTTGGCCCAATTGAATATTAAACGTTTACGTGAACAAAATTGTGATTTCAGTGAGCGTACACGTTGTTCTAACAAAGCGCGTTCAAACCTTGCACGTCTAGCTGCAACCGATGCTCTAGCAGCATTTGTTGCCGCAATCGAACGAGCTCTAGCTTTCGCTTCTAATGTATTCGGTGAAAGAGGACGTGGAATACTATTATTATTACTCGCTGAACGATCATCACTTCGACTTCTAGAATTTACTAGTAACAGAAACAAACAAATGAATGAGAAAAAAATGCAGATTGTATATAACGTTGACTATCTTTGAGATTGCTACCGAGAAATCTTCAAAATCTTGAGGAAAAAGGTTGAAAAAACTGTCTTATTAACACGATAATAGAAAATTTACCGAAAGATCGAGAAAACAGACAAATTATGTGTTATAATCTAACTGTCCTTGTTTACTGATATTCACAAGATGACTCGAACTTAGTACCTTTCGCTTTAGATGCTATTGCGTTATTCATTCACCTACTGAATTCAAAGAGTCACCATGTTGCTTGACGGGGATATTTATATGATTATTATTAAGAATTTGAGTCCAGTAGCGCGTACAATAAACAAGCATTTTGAACTTCACGGTTAACCATAATATATCTATCCTGTAAAACATGGCAAAATGAGAATAGCAAGGCGATCCTCACAGGATATATATATATATATATATATATATATATATATATATATATATATATATATAGTTTCATTATGGTAAGATGAACGACTTTATTTTGTTGGTCAATTATTCTGAATTTGATAATATTTGTTTATCGAAAGTTTCATTTTAAGAACTAGTTCTCTGTGAGCAATTAATTGTTGCTCGCTTGTATGATTAACATCAATAAGGTTGGGCTCGATAGCTCGATCCATATCCACACAAGTAATATAATATCAGTCTTTGAAAATAAATGTTATCAATATTTAAAATAGTAAATTCTCAGCACAAAATAATACAGTCAATAAAGAAAATATGGTTAACAGGTGAATTCAGTCAGTGGATAGGTGTATGAACTTATATATTTTCTACTACAATTCATTTACCTAAAACATTTGTTTAGTCTCGATTGACAATTTAAATGTCAGAGCAAGTGATATTACTGGGTTAACTAGACTGAAGTAAATATATAGGGCTTCGAAATTCAAATTCAACGACTGAAAGTCAGACGCCTTTACCACGAAAAATTAATAAATTTACTATGAATATGTACGAGAGATCTCTACACCCCAGTGAGATATTCGTACTGCTAAGTATCAAGATCTAAAACAACCTATAAAAGCATGACATATAAAAATACAGACACAAACGACAGAAAATATACCTGACATACGGCCAGATTGAAGGGCTGAAGCTAAAGTAGAACGTGAGCGTGAGGAAGAGCTATTCAACAGAAATCCATTAGGTTGACCACCATCATATAAAAAGCCATTTTTTTCAACATATCCTTCAATATTTGATGGAGAAATTAATGATTTATTAGCTTCAGTAGTAGTGACAGTAGCAGAAGTTGAAGCATTTGAACTTGAATCTGGAGGAAGCGAAGCTAGCCGAGTGGAAATGACATACTGACTAGTTTTATCGTTAGGATCTATCTTTGAAACATCACTGTCTGAAATAGGAGGATAATCGGATTTCGGCGGTAGTAAACTAGAAAGAAGACAGGGAGGGAGAAATACACTTTTACGTACAGTAAAGGACGCCAATAATAATAATAATAAATAATGTGAACCAACTCTAATGAGATACTGTCTATCAGGATATGCTCTAACCAACAAATGGAAAAATGGGATTTAAGTCATCAAAACCAATAGTTCGTACCACTATAATACTGATATTTACCTATCACACACATCATACGAGGTAAATCCTAAAAAAAACACTATAAAATAAATAATATCTGCGGTAAAATTCTAAAATACAGTGTTTTTCCATCTTACTGTGGCTTTAATTGCGTCAGATCTTTTAAACAGAATTTAGATGTACCAGACAGAAATTGGGATCAAATGAAAAGTGTAAAACAGAAAGCTATACAACTCACGAGTGACCAGTGTCATATATGTCTTGTCCTATAATGGTGAGAGAATTATATTGATCGAAAAATAATGTTACTCGGCTGGTGCACTAAAATGAGACATTAAGTAACTGGAGGTAATCGACAAGATCTAGGTGTCATGCTAGTCGGTACTCGTTAGAAATTGTATCTGTAATCTTGAGAGTTAATGCTATCTGTGCGATTCAAAACCATATCCACCTGCTTGAACATCTATCAGGACTGAGATATTTACAGCTGATCGATCACCTATCTAATTAGAATAAGTATACATGATGTGCATGAATAATGAATAAGTCTTTAGACATTGATTATGATTATTTCTCAAAGAAATAATATAATTTTTGTATAGCTCATGATTTATAAAATGCAATTTGAGTCACACATTACTCAAGGCCCGGTTGACGTACCTAATTGGAGCAAAGTTTGGAACTAAGAATAGATTTATTGACAAGGTACATAAAAGGATTAAAATTATTTATTGAATAAGGAAGGCTTAGTAGAAAACAAAAAAAAACTCACGAATTCATGAAAACACTTATTTCCCACAAAAACACTGCATCTTCAGACATCCACTTTTCCTCAATTGACACTTCATTACGCTGTGACTGGAGACCACGTCGTCCACCGCAGAATTCTGGATCACCATCATCATCTGAATCGCAAAATGAACCTCGACTAGAACGACCGTAAGAACGAAAATTATTGCGCGATTGTCGGCGACTAGAACTATTTGAACAAGGAACTCCAACACGCCAACCTTCATCTACAGCAGGGTCGTAGTCAGGGTCTTTTCCACCTTGAGCATTTCTCTGACCTCCACGTCTTCCTTTTCTCCTAGAAGTTGACTCATCAGGTTCTGGAGAATCTTGAAGAGATGGACCTCTTGTAGATCTACCTCTATTAGATGGATCTGTAGCTTTACGCCTGCGACTAGAATTTGAACGGCTTGGATAAGTTGTAGTTATACGAACTTTATAATTAGCCTGTAGCCAAAATCGATCCTGTCAGTAGAAAACAAAAATTTCAACACATCAGTAACAATCTTCGATGGAAAAAATCATTTGAAAAATATATACAATACAAAATGAAAAGTACTTACAAGAGGTTGAATTTCAACTATACGCCTTACGCTATAAGGCTTATTATCATCATATCTGCCTGAAACACCACTAAGATCAATATCGTCGTCATCGTCATCAATATTTAAAGTTTTTTTAAAACAAGGTCTCCCATTGGAATCATGAACACATATATCTTTATCTGGTTCAACCATTATATCATCCCATCGAATACAATGCCATAATGTACGTAAAAGTAAAGCAAAATTAGCCAAATCTAAACCAAATGAGATATTGTTGTTATGATTATCTTTTTGAAAGCTATTCATTCGTATTTGACTAAGACGAAAACGCCAGCATTCGGCAAAATTAGGCCTTGAACTCGGATATAACCAGTTCACCTGGAATATAAAAAATACAATAATTTAGTAATTATTATAAGTAAGGAAATAAGTGTACGATTATAAATTGTAAGAATTTTATGAAAACAGTTATGTAAGCAATACAGCAAACATTAGTTAAAGTAAATATATATATAAAATGGAAGAATTTGTTGTATTAGGAAGTAGACAATATACTAGACGAGTATATTCATATCATGTTCCTATATTTACATGCCATTTTCTTAATGTTGAACAGTTAATAAATAAAAATTGTGAGATACGCTAATGAAAGAAGTCAAACTGACACTTGGTCGACGTATAAAATAACATATCTTTGATTAAATCAGAAGGGCAATCGGATATATACACCTTTGATTTGTAAACATTATATTTCGATCTGGTAGTTAAGTTCACCTGATAGGGTTTCACTCTTTTTATTTGGATAATGAGTTTAATGTATTAAAGTAAGTGAAAATATCGCGAATGAATCGGATCACAGAAAACAACCACAGGTGTGTTGGTATAAAGTTTAATAGAGAGATTTTGCCTCTCTATCTCAGAAGTTAAAGCAAAGAATATTAGCGTTTGTAGTTTAAGGAAAAAAATATACAGAAAACATTGTAAGGTTCAGTCTCATGAAAAGTGTAACAAAAGAAAGAAACAATTGTCTATTTCTTAACAAACTGACTAAACGCTTCATAAAAAGACAATCTAAATTATTAAAGAATAAATGCAAAAAGTATAGATAAGACGGGACTACTTTTTTACCTGTGAAAGTCGCTTCTTTTCAACATCATATCCAGGAATTTCACGTCGACCAGCAGAAAGTATAACAAGGCGTAAATTATGAGGATTTATTCGGAATAAAGATGATTTGGGAAGAACCTAAATATGAATAAACAGAAAAAAAATGAAATAAGCACAATCAATAGTACTAAACTTATTTGTAATATTCTGCAACCATTTTCCATTGTCTTCAGTGAGTACCAATGATACAGTCTCCAACAATGTGTATCTGTATTTTTGAGGGAATGGATGTTCTCTGGTGGGTTCAATTCCGTGTTATACAGCTTCATGGTCAGAGGCATTACCACTGAACTATTCGGATATCTCTAACCGTGAAGGTAACGGACAATATTAAGTCCACCAGACGGACATGACCTTGGAGATTATAGGCGAAGTTTGTTGACGAGTGCCGAGTAGAACAACACGTAGGTAAAATGGGCAATCCTTTCAAATACATCCAATAAGCATTTTACATCTCAACATAGTGCACACGATGTCGAGTAACTTGGACTGATTAGTGGCCACATTGCAACTTGATCGATAGAATTCAATCAACACTAAGGAGTATTCGACGTACATGACAATGGTTAGAATTCTGATATTACGTAACAATATATGTCATATTTACAGTTGATTATTCATTTAGTAGTGACCACTCTTTAATCTGTTTGAAATGATCAATAATTAACCTTTGATAGTGATGTTTATAAAGCTAAGTGTTTTTAATGCTATAAAATAATCGCTGTGGTTTGTAATTGCTACATTTTTGTGATGGAGATTATGGTATCATCAAATTACGAACAACTAAGGACAATACAAAATCTGCGCGAACTACACATATCGAGTGACCAATACCACAGCAATACTTTAACAATTAATAATCCACACGAGAATAAGATAGAGGAAAGATGGAACTTTCTACAGAACCTTAATATTTCCAATAGAAGTCATCACAGTAACAAAATAACTATGTTTATGTAATTACAAATATAAAAAACTGAGATATGTGGCAAAAATAGTCAATCGAAAAAACGAAAACAACCATTCTCTAAAAACGTCATAAGTCAGTGAGGTAATACATAGTGGGAAGAAACAACCGCGGACTTCCTTACAAGTCATAACTACAATTTATTTTAAAAAAAATTGAGAAAATCAGATGACTTACTAGCAGTAATCTTAAAACATTTTCAAAACTGTTTCTTTTTATATTTCGTCACAGTATGTTGCCGACATATCGCTTTTAATGAAACTCAAAAATTGAATACGATATCCTAAACTCATTTTTAAGTCAAATACTACATAGATGTGAAATTTAATTGATTATAGCTGACTAACCAAATTGAAAAAGGTATAAGCTTTTATCAAACTGAAGCAGGTAAGATTAGATAGAAACATAAGGTTTTACACCACTAAGTTATTTCTACAATATGATTCTTAGTTCAGAAGAAATTACTTGAATTAAAACTGAGGGACTGACAACAATAATTTCGTCATAGTCACCGGGAGTAGCTTACAGCAACTAAGAAAGTATTATGACTTAAATGAGTTAAGGTGGCTGGAAAACTTGTAACTTTAGGTCCTAACACATCCAAGAAATTCCGACGGAGAACGGTAAGACGAGAGTATCGACTCAAGGTTTAAGGGTGGAGTTATACTGTTAACCGGTCGGTAAAGCCTAAAAAAAGCACATCATGTTGGACCACGGATTCTTGTTGTCTGCGACAAGGCCTTTGCTACGTTTGAAGAGATTACGGTGTCACATACAACCACATACATATTTACTAAGTACGATGATAAAATAACTAACCATATTTTGTTTCTGTTCGCTACTAAATTGATCTTTCGACATAGAATCTGGAAGTGGCCATGCATAATCATTTACATAAGGTAAACTTTGTGGTAACACAGCATCCATAGTAGTGCCAGAATCTTTGTCGGCTTGATTAGTTGTTTTCTTGTTATTGTTACGCAAAAATTTATTCACAAACGTTTTGTTGTTTAAATCGAAATCGGCGTTGTTACGTAGTGATAGTGAATACGGTGAACTGATGACTGGTGAACCACGATTGACAATCTCTTGATATTTTCCTAGTTCTGATTTTAACGAATTAATTTGCGATTCTAATTCCTGTGCCTGATAACAACAAAATAAAAGAGGTTTCCTTCTTTTAATAAAGCAAAAAATCCGAAATAAACAATGGATACGACAAAGAAAATAAACAAGATCAGCTCAATTAGTTTACATTACACACTGACCTTAGTTGGACAACTATTGTAAACCTTGAAGTGGATAGCCGCTTCGTCTTAGCATGCGACTTGTCAGTACTGCGCATCCACAAAGCTTCTTCCAGGAATCGAAGATCCTAGGTTCGATTTGATATGAATTTTGTGAAACTGAATGTGCAACCCAAATTTAGACCGAAAAAGCTACAATTTTATAAACCATCTAACATAGTGTACATGATGTTAATCAGTCAGTCATACGCAAAGTAGGACGTGACACATTTTTGCATTGGTTCAAGTTGTCACAATTTATAAGCACAGTTATATGATACTATCAAGACGATTCCCAAAGTGGAGATAGTAGCAGTATTAGTGGTAGTAAAAGTGTTCGGACATAGAAAATATGATTGGAGAAGGGAGAATGAAACCATAAAATAAAAGGAATAAAATAATCTGAAACTCAGGGTATGAGAGATAACAAAAGCAAACACATTTCAGTCATTGTGGTCACATCTGATCCGCATCAGTCAACATCACCAACCATGGGCTACGATAATTTTCCAAACTCCAACCAAGCATTCTCCACCAAACAAATATTCGATGACTTTATAAGACAGTCAGCAACAACGTAGAACATTTTACGTAGGTACATCAGTCCGAGTTGCCACACCACATTAGCACAGAGATGCAGTTTTCGACTCAAATCCCGTAGTGCTAGTAAGAGTATTAGCAGTAATCGGAAACATTAGGCTTTGAAGATGTTATCCAAGGAGTATAATCCAGTGAAATAAATTTGGAAAGAAACAAAAAGAAAGGGACACAAAGAATCCAGAAAATTAGAATTTCGGAGAACACAAAGAGTGGATGCACCTGCTCACACCATTGCAAACGATTTCGAGCCAAGTCATTCAGGGTCTCTAACCATCAGTTGCTATCATCTCGCGGTCACCAACTAGGTAGTCTACACCTACCAACATGGCTCAGTCCACTTGTCAGTGACTTCATGGACTTGTGCCATGTTTTGGTCTGGCCGCCCCTAGCTTTCTTCTAACCTACGCCTACACCATAAAACATCGCACGTCAGGGCAGTCGGTCGTTGGGCATACGTAACACGTGTCCCAGCAATCTCAACTGATGAAAGATCACTACTCCATCAATTGATTTGTTATCCTTACCCAGTACCCGTTTCCTAACAACTGAGTTACCTACTCGGAGGTCCCAGGATAAACGAGCAACGTTTCGAAGACACCTATGATCGAATACTAGTAACCTACGAATATCCTCTACTCTTACCGGCCATGTTTCACTGCCATAAAGTAGAACGAAACGAACTGCTACACTGTAAACCCGTCCTTTGGTTGGTAGACGGATATCTCGCCTACGCCATGAATGACGCAAGTTGGCAAAAGCTAGTTGAGCCTTCTGTCTCGGTGCTGAGGTTTCATCACACATCAGACCACAAAGTCTAATGAGACTCCAAAAACCAATGACTTCATACAATTTTCAAACGTTAATTGACCTGAGATGCGTCATTACAGATAAATTTAACAAACCTATAATAAAATATATAAGTAGTTTATACTAGTGAATACAATCTGACATCTGACCTACCTCCGAACGAACTGAAGCAATCTGAGCATTAATAGCGTCTAATTTAGCACTGGCTTCTGTAACAGCATGATCTAAAGCCAGAGTTGCTTCATCAACAATTGGAGTTTGTAATCGAGCAGCAGTTGAACCACTATCGAACTGTCTAACTAAACCTTTATAATCAGAAATTAAAACTTTCGACTTATTATTCATTATGAAACGAGGATCTTCATCTATTAATGAATTATGACGAATATGTTGAGCTTTAGCTATTGAACGTCTACCTTGATGTAGATCTGACATTCCTTGTGAATCAGATATCACTGGTCGAATAGATGGTCCAGTTGATATGTATCGATTGAAACCACCTAATTTGAAAAAGATATATACATATATATAAAGTAATCAATAAAATGAGAATCATTCAAAAACATATACTACTAACTTTAACTTTCGATTTTTCTTCTTTTTAATAAACATATTTATCAGGCAGAGATTCGACTTACACTCTAAAGTGTGAAGACAAGTGATACTACATCGATGGCCAAAATGGAGTAACTGGATTAAGATTTGAAAAATCTACTGAGGGATTGAAAATCGTATGTCTTAACTACTGAAACACTGCTTAGATTGATAGATCAAATCAATTTTCAGACTCTATGTGTTACTGATAATCATTTTCAATAGCTTTCATAATTCACGGTAGGTGCACTTTAAGTACTTACTGAGTTGGATTCACTTTTTCTCCTGTTCTTCAGCATTCTATATTTCCTTACACACAATATTTTGCACATACATCCACTAGGAATAAATATGGTATGAAGTTGGTGTGAAGCTTTTATGGTTTACAGTTACGGTACTTAGTGGGTTTGCAAGTGGATAACGCTGGAAAAGTTTCATACTGAAATGTTTCCTATTTTAGAATTGTTAGTCAGTCAATTAGTCAGTAAACTACAATATGAGCGAAACTTGCTAATCTTCCCTGATAATACTATGTTGTTACTTTCAGAAAAAAAGGAACACTGACATAATTAGAACTCTAAATGTAAAAACCTAAAAAATTATAAGACTTGCAATTACGTTTGTACCGATCTAGTTACAACACCCTAAGCATATCAAATGTGCTGAATTGCTGTTATACCTAATTTCTTCGCTACATTTCATGCACTGTAGTCGATCCACAGATACATGATTGATTGACAATCAGACAGAATTCATATAATATATACGGAATATCCTAGGCCATTTAGTAAGTGAATACTTTGAACAATGGATGGAGAGAAAGCAAAAGTGCTGTCAGATTCAGGACGAAAAATAACCATAAAAGTTATTGTGTTCACTACTGACTAAATGTTCATTTTTTAGAAAAGCATGTGTTGTTAGTTGAAGCATAACAATCATGCTAATAGATCTTGCTAAAAAAAAATACAATGGAACATAAAATTATCAATCTCTGATTAGTAGACGTATGTAGATGCAGAATACTTTGTTAGGGTACGCACGATTATGGTTACAGACTTTGACTGATATAGTTCAGAATCACTCGGAACGATGCGGAAACATTCACTATTTGTCTTCCGTTAGATCCTGAATTTCCTAATAGTCCGGAAACATTTTTTGCAATAATCTGCATTTTATTCTTGAATTATATCCTCGATGTCTAACCTACTACTACTACTACTACTAATCAGGGATTTTTCCAGCCAATTTCATCTCTCTGTGCTAATATAATGTGACAACTTGAACTGACACAAACATGCGCCAGGTTCTACGTTGCGTAAGACTGACTGATTGATCAGCTGAATTAGTGATAACATAAGACTGATTAACAGTTATGAAATAAATGAGTAGTACATGGAATAAAATTCAAACAACTATGATTAATGGATTATCAGATATAAATGAAATATTTGGCATGCGAAAACACGTTGACAGTTCACTCTCTAAATATATATATATATAGGTAGTGTTGATTACAATTTGACTTTATTTGAGGTACTAGTGAAAATGACTGAAGTTGGAATTGAACCACTAGAAACTAGCCTGGTAGTTCTAACAGTTAAGATTTCGATGCGAGACAGTGAGTTCGACTTCTACAAGGATCGAAGATGAGCATAACCGAGGATTTCTAAACTAGGACGAAGAGGCTGTCAAATGATCCACGGTTTTAAGTTAAATTCAATATGGAAATATATTTCAGATGGTAGCCAACTTAGAAACGATTATGTAGTATTTATGAACTTACCACAGACCAATTGTCGGGCTGTATTCGTAGCAACAAGACTTGCAACTGATGGAGTTCGAAGAGATGAAGATTGCTGTGTACCAACAATTTGTGGATAATCACTCGATGAACTAACTGGTAAAATCAAACTAGTCGAAGATGGACCACCACTACCAGCAGCAGCTAAAGTACGTCGTAATATAGCAGGAGGTGGTTTACGAGGCAGTATTGGTGTAAATGATGACGTAACCGCAGATGTGATTGCGTTAGAATCTGAGGAAACATCTAGAAAAAAAAGTGAACAGGATTGACAAATGATGTTACAAAGCATTATGCATCGGTAATCAATAAGAATTAAGGACTTATGAGATTGTATTGAACAGGTATACAATGCACACAGAGAGGGATCATGCAATAACTAGCACTTCTTCAAATTACTCAACTTCGTATTGATAATAATTATCAAACGATTTTACTTCACATAAACATTTCCATTAGAGTGAGAAACAAGGAAAAAAAGACTAATCAAGTTTTTTATGCTTAATTTATAATATTTGTCTGATGACATGAGAAACTGATGAAAATGGTGAAAAAAATACCAGTGTCCAACCAATGATTCATTTGAAGCATTGCTGATGATGTATAGTGAAACCGTTAAGTAATGCTGAAAATACTAACATGGTAATGAAAGTAGGTTAGTAATAAAGCTCTGAAAATACATATCAACTGTGATAGAGGTGTTTTATTAAATATTTGTATAAGGACTAGTGATCTATATCCAGGTTCTCGAAATTAATTAGGCAGTGTTGTGTATGTTCTTTAAAAGATTAAATTATTAATAAAATGTCATTTCACAATTGATTGATCTATGGGTGGCGATCAATGTCATGCGAGTCTAGTCCTTATTTAGTGCAGATCGAATGCTATCGACCAGGTTGCAATGTGGCCACCAGTCTAGGTGACTCGACATTGCGGGCACTATATATCGAGATTAGATGGTGGTTAGAGGTAGTCGACAGGAAACCCTGGACCCGGGTTTCGCGCTACTTGGCACTCGTCAGCAAGATGTACCTGTAATCTTGAGGGAACTGGTACTACCTGGCGGATTCGATCTCGTGTCACCCAGCTTCACAGTCAGACGTCACCAATGGAGGAGGTCGGTCGCGGCTCGGATATCTCAGTGGTGGCGTCTCTGACTGTGAAGCTGGATGACACGAGATCGCATCCGCCAAGTAGCACCAGTTTCCTCAAGATTACAGGTACACCTTGCTGACGAGTGCCTCAAAATGTCATTTCTTTCATCAGCTCTGTACGAAAAAATAACACGAAGATATTGAATAAAATCTGTAAACATAAATGTGCAGAGAATGAAATATTATTCACCTGACTGATTTGATGCTTTAACTATGGTGATTGTAGGCGTTTGACTTGGAGGATTCGTCGATCCACTACTATCACTAGTTGTAGTAGCAGTAGTACAAACTGTAGGTGCAATTATAAAGCGAACCGAATTAGCCGATGGAGGTTTCAACTTTCCAACAGTAGCAATATTTACAGTCGCTGGTTGATTGATCAGAGCGGGGATTGAGACAGTAGTACTGGATACAGTAGCAGGAGTGATCAAATCAGTAAGTTGTATTCCACATTGTTGTAAGTTAGTTGTAGATATAGTAATTGGTTGTTGTGATGTTTCATTCTCAACGGAGATAGATACAAGAGGAGTGTTTGTAATAGCAGGCTTAAAAATAAAATGAATTTAACGGGATTTTTTAAAAACAGCCATTTGTAAATATGTTGTATCAGTGCAGTTGAATATAAAATCATAAGAGACTTAATTCAACGAATCATCTATCAATCTTAATATAAATATCCTGAGTAATAGATTGTAAAAGCTCACTGCTGAAGCATGGTACGCCTGTGATAGACATTTTCCGGTGTGCTCCTCTACCTGAACTGAGGCAATGCACAAATTCATCAAACGAGTCACCTATTATCTTTATAGGTACGATTTCTCCGTCTCCAGAGAGCATTGATGGTGGTGTAAGGGGATTACGGTAGCTGAGGCAGTTTTCGGGACAGCTAATTCGATTATCACGTCCCTATTATCTCATACTTCATAAAATGTTTTCATGGTATTACGCTGATTTATGTGTATCAAATTTATAGGTTATAGTTCTTCTAAGGATACGTTTCAATATCATAACAGTTAAGACAAAACGCTAAACAATATCCTGAATTGCCACCGGTAAAATTATTGTGCAAAACATAGACAGAAACTATACTATAAAATGTTGACTAATTTAATTTAGGATAGCATAGGCTTTTAACAACACCAAATTTAATATCATACAATCTCCAAACAGACACACTTAAGTCTTCACCTACTTTATGAATTTTTATTTATTTGTTTGAACACATAAATGTTGATGAAAAAGAGGCACCGAATACATATGCGCCACACAAGTTATTTGATTTGTGTGTAGGCCGTGATACTGCCCGTGTGCTCAGACCGAAGCAGGTGCTTTCCTTAGGAAGCTACACCCAAAACCTTCGACCTAAAGGTCTGATCCACAAGACAGTGGAGCAACGTCAGGAGATGTAGTACCATGGTAGCCGGTGACCAACAATAGGTTCATACGCCATTTCTTTCCTCAAGATACTGGAGCCCATGTGCACCATTAGTTTGGAATCAGTGTTTTCCAACTTCCCTAGGTGGGTCTTCCATATCCACCAACCCGGTCAAAGCACCAGTCATTCGCTTTTCGTCCTCTCAATTTCGTAAACAACACCCCCACTGTGAGAATGCAGTGAGTAGAACTTCTATAGCAGGAGTTGTATGCACGTGGTCATATGAGAGCATTTCGAGATGGAGAGCTAACTCTGACCACACTCGGCCGTACCAGGATATTTGGGGGCTACCAGGGCCTTACACCAGTTCCGTTACTAAACTGTTAGAAACTAGCGTGATTGTTTGGGGGTTTAAGCTTTCAAATAATAGGCTGTAGGTTCGAATTCCGTACCGTCTACTTCATTTTTGGAATCCAGGTCAGATTACTAGTCCTGACGAGATATTATTTCACGGCTCCAAGTCGAATGCATTTACCGCATGTCTACTTTTATATCATTACTCAACACAAAATGTCCGTAGAGATCTCATGAGGTTCGTGCAATTCCAGTATTGATAAGCACACAAAGACGCAATATTGATGCAAATTACTCAACGAAATTTAGTGTGTAGAAATTATTTATGTAATATTTTTCCTAAGCTACAGCTTTCATCACAAAAACGGTGATAATTAAATATTTCTGATTGTCAATATTAATTCTAAGTTCTACTATGGTATGACATCAGTTTTAAACTGGTAAGGAAATATGAAGAATTATAAACAATAGCTTCATCTTAGTTCCAAACTACTCAGTATTTGTACATTCACAACATAGAACCTAATGCAGGACACATTAAAAACATAAAGGGAGGAATTATCGGACTCACACACACACACACACTGAAACGAAAATAAACTACTTTCAAATTAATCAAACCATTAAATAACTTTCTAAAGCTTGTACATTAGTTTTAATCGTTTTACAGTTCATATCGATAATGAAGAAAAAAAGTCTTCAACTGAATAGATTCCCGTTCAAATATTAAATGTAAATTCATCCAGAATATTTCACTCGATAATATATGATTAACTTTAGATCTAATAGTAAATTTAGTCAAATAACCACCAAAAACTAGTTCTATACTAATATGGGACTCCACTGCAGTGTATATCTAGCCTAATCCGAGCACACTCACACAAGGATAGATCCTTGACCTTTTAAGACTTGTTGTGATCACTTAAAGTTCAGTCAATTCATGATATTTTATAACCATCATACATCGATATTGAATCAATATATCTGACATCTGATATGGGTGAACTCCGCTAACCATGGCTTCTCCTTAGAATATCAAGAGATAATAGGTAGATACAGCTATGTAGTGTTTCCCTGAATTTTGAATGTTTTCCATTAATAAAAATGATTTGTGGTATGAAAATTTAGTTTCAACGATTCCCACAACCAACCTCTAATATATTTAATTTAATGCAACTCATTCACTAAATAAAAGAGTTCATGTGTACTCGGGTTTGAGGAATACTTCATGTTTCATATACGGGGTAAGTGACACGATTACTACTAATGTATGGCCATCCAAACCACAGGTCTGAAGTTAGAGTTGAGATTGAGTCCTATTTAATTGAGATAGTCGGGTGTATTTACAACAATTTGGAGTATTGAAATCAATTTACCTTCAATTCACATGACGTTGTTGCCGTTGTCAATACAACCGATGGTTTTGATATGGTAACAACATTATTAGAACCAGTTGTACTTGATGAATTTAACACTAAATGAATGTCACTGCTATCGAAGGAATTCAATCCAGTCGTAGATGATGATGGTACAAGATCACTTTGATCGGTGGTGTTAGTAATAACTGGATAATCAATTATTAGTACAACGAAGGGAGAAAAAGATAAAGGATTAAGTAAAGTAAAAATCAGACAAAACAAATGACAAGTAACAAAGCTGGAACAATTAAATAATGGTGGAGTCAAACTAGTGATGACCAATTAAGAAACAAATGTATATCCATTTATCTTAAGCCTAGTACAAAATGGCTTCCGATAAAATTGCCGAATGTTGTTACTGGAAAATACAATAACCATTTGACAGCTTTATACATTCACTATACTGTTGGTTAGTTAGAGGGTTTATACAAGATTTTCCTCTAACTACTAACATCTTCAACCTAGTGCGCCCAAAGTTGGACTAATTAAACAATAATAAAACTTGATCGATTGAATTCGATCATCATTAAACAACTAGATAAACATTATATTGGTCACTACTACTTCGCAGTGATCCAGTCAGCTGTAAATCAAATATATAGACCAATATATCACAACATAGTTTTATCAGAAATAATAACCATGGGTTTTTTATATGAATTGACTGGGAGATTAAAATTAACTCACTTAAATTGCAGTAGAGAATGACTGCTGATAAAGCATGAGATGGTTTACAAATGCCCCTAGGAGTTATACTACAACATGATGTTCATAGTAAATATTTTAAAAGAAACACAATAACTAAGTATCTAGAAGAATACGTATAGTCTATAATTTTCTGGATGATACTTACTGATTGCTAACCAACTATTCGAACTTAAATTAGTGAGAACCAAATCTACCTTTTAGAGTCTTAATTTCAAAAAACAAATATCTGACTGATGAGTTTTAAGTCTGAAGTAAAATAATCTAAAAAATCAGTAACTTTCTAGAGTTACAACACGACAACTAAAAAAATAATCATTTCTCTAAAAAAAAAGAGCGATTTTAAAGCAGAACATAAAAATAACCATAAAACATGTAGCATTAGAAAACGACAAACAAACAACGAAACAATATATAGAAAAAATATTTTACTTGAATTATCCACAGTTTGATTGACATTTAACGGTTCTATTGTTGGTGATAAAATAGTATCTGTAGCAGCCACAGGGATTATATTAGTTCCACCATCAGCATTGCGTACAATTCTTACTAGACGTAGACCTTGAGGCACATTGACTGATGGTTGGCTAGGAGGAAGGTGAAGAGCTTGACTACTACCTTCCTTAACATTCCCTAATGATACTGTCTAAATTAGGGTGAAATAAAAAAGTGCAAAACAAACGTAGACATAGAAGATAAAAACATTGACCAATAGAAAGGGGAATTCATGCTAATCATCACAGACATGAATATAGTGATAACTGTGAACTCAATAAAATTACTGAAAATGATTGAGCATTCCAAGTATATTAATTTATAAATTCTAAACTTTCAAAGCCCCCAAATGCCCTGGTACGGATGAGAGTCCTCTCTCCCTCTCGAAATCTTCTCACATGGCCACGCGTATATAGCTTCTATCAGGGAAGTTCTACTCAATACCTTCTCGTGGCACCAGTGTTGTTTACGAAATTGAGAGGACGAAAAGTGAATGTCCGGCGCTTAAACCGGATTCCAAATCAATGGTGCACATGGGCTCCATTATCCTGCGGGAAAAAATGGCGTATGAACCAATTGTCGGTCACCGGCTTACATGGGACTGCATCTCCTTACGATGCTCCACTGCCTTGTGGATCAGACCCTTAGGTCGAAGGCTCGGGGTGTGGCCCCCTAAGAAAACCACCTGCTTTGGTCTGAGCACACGGGCAGTATCACAGCCCTCACACATATCGAATGAGATTTGTGTGGCGCATATGTATTTGGTGCCTCCTAGTACCAATATCTATGTGCTGAAATAAATAAATAAAACTTTCAAAATTACAAATACACAGAGAGATTAACAGTACGTTATATGATTGACTGAAGATCAGGTAGCTAAACTATTATAGTAGTAAATGGTTAGTTCAAACATGAATAATTTTAAGAATATAATTACGATCAACAAGGAAAGAATGACAGTTTTTGCAAACTTTTTTTGTCGAACATCTTTCTACACTACTTAATTGGTAATGAGTATAAATTCTTATCTTCTTGAAATAGGCATTTGAAAAGATAGAATTATTGTCATCATTATATGCCATCAAAAATAGTCGACAGGAAACTCTGAGTCTGGATAAATCATTAAGTGATGTACGTACACATACAAAAATTAGGAAATATTTCTCTGAGTAAAAATTAAATGTTATTCACTCTCAACAGATATCAACTTTTTCATCTGAAGTCACTAAATAATAATAATAATAAACCAAAACAATGAATCGATCACATATTACACGTTATATCTTAACAGATAATTCACGATGCACTGTATACGTTACTACTTCTCTCCTTGATTGCTAGATATCTCACAATCAGTTAGTCATTCATTCACCAGGCGAATATATCTTGCAATAAGCAGTAGAGATTAGAGAAAATAAAACAAAATTGTTTTTGTACCGATGCCACAATTTTGTCAGCCATTAAGCGATCAATCAAGTCTGATAAGGCTACTAAAATAAGTGATTTGATGCCGACACTGGATGAATGAAGAACATTCGAAGTATTATTATGCTTTGTTCAGGTTTATATTTAGAGTATGCTAATTAGTCTTAATTTCAACCAATCAACCTTCAGATGATTGTTCTTTTCAGGTGATTGGAAAGAACACAAATATATTACTCCCGCTTAACTTTTGTGTTTGATATGTGAAAAACAGGATGGTGTGTATTTTCTATGGAGGAATAGAAAAAGCATTGAAAACAACTCAAGTGTTTTCCAAATAGTTTACCTTGTTGTTAGATATTGATTTTTCATTTGTATTAGTTGGAGTCTTCAGTTTAGCAGGCAAAATAATACGTTGACCAGTTGTTGTTGTACTAGGAGGAATTGAAAGTACTCGTGGATTAGTGTTATCCTTATTCTTAACAGTGGTAGCAGTATTTCCGTAAACATAGGGTGCGGTGTTATTTTTCAATATCACAACTTTCGGTAAAACCTATTTTCATATGAGAGGGATTAAAAGTACAGTGATTAAATGAGATAATCTAACATGGTGAAAAAGCAACTAATTTGATGATTGAAATAAATTTATACATCATGAGCAAAAACGATGCTGAACTCTGCGCGAGCGCATACATACACAAATATAAACGCAAATAAACTCATGTTTCTACTACTATAAATGAGGTAAAATAAAAAGGAAATCGAAGGAAGAGATAACCATGTGTTAACAGAATACAACCCTGAACATTGTGTTCCAATTAGGCTCGTATTGTTTTTGGAATATGCTGATTGATGCATTTTAAAAATCCAATTCCAGTGGACGAATTGAGAAGCTAATGGAAGATCCCTACGTAAATACTATATAAAATCTAATGCTTTAATAACTGAATGTTTGTAGTTCAAATTATTGGAAAATATCCATCGTCCGTCCTCTCAATTCTTGTTTTGATTTAGAAAAAATCAAGTGAAATATAGTGTCTAAGAGATACTCTAGATAGTAGGCGAATGTAACATTGTGTGGCACAACATTAAGACGTATAAATTTTGAATGGGGAAAAACGACTTATGGTAACTTGATGCTATATCCAGTCTTTATTAAGGCTTTGATTTCTGATAACACATGCGTCCATATTTAAAAAAAACTCACTACTTTGCAAATTGTTCTTAGATTTTTTTAAATCAAACCAATATTCCGATTGCTTGATGGATCAGTGAAGATCACATGGACGGCTACATGCATAGCTTTATGTATATAAATATTCACAGGTGGCATCAACTAATGTTATCGTTTATTTGTTCAAACAATAAGCAGCATATTTAGTGATAGGCTGCGACAGGCAGATATGCCAGTTCAATGTCAAATTATAGATGAGGAATGTTGACAGGCTCATGTTACCGGTCAATTTTCGGTTTAGCCTTATAAAAGACCCCCTATACACAACTTGTTAAGAATCAGACTTGATTTAAGGACGGACATGTATCTATGTTAACGAACGGGTTTGTGAACATATTCACTTGTTAGCTAAGAATAGGCAGACGACATCGTTTTGTTTGGTGAAGAGGGTCAACCTTCAGCAACAATGTAAGCATGTTTGGGTTGTGATTCTCTCCCTCCAAACCCAAAATGATGTTTCAGGATTAACCTGCGTTATTGTCTAAATGACTGATAGGGCGCGAAGTAACAGAGCAGATCGATCACTATTATCTTGGGAATCCCATCAGTCCCGACGGACTGATATCTGACAAAATCTCGGGTTGGCTTTTGCTGACTTATGTCACTTGCGACAAAGGTGAGATATTCGTCTACTAAAAAAAGGGACGAGTCCATGGTGAAGCAGTGCGCTCCAGTAGATTTTATGGGTACGAAAAATGGTCATTCTTAGGTTGCTAGTATTCAAACATAGATATCTTTAAAGCATTGCTTGCGTATTTTTGGATCACCGAGTAAGAAATCGCTGCGTCAAGAATAGGGTATTACTTAAGGATGGGAAAGCGATTGAATAGGTAGTAGTAAATTCTCATCAATTGAAGTGGATGGGACATATATTGCGTACACTCAACCACAGCCTACCTCGAGGCACTACGTTGTCTCATATGGGAATAGGTTGGAAGAAACATAGAGACGGTCTAACCAAGACGTTTTTATTTCAACACATGGATAATGGTACAAAGAGGCACCAAATACATATGCGCCACACAAATCTCATTCGATATGTGTGTGAGGGCTGTGATAATGCCAGGGTGCCCAAACCGAAGCAGGTGGTTTTCTTAGGGGGCCACACCCCGAGCCTTCGACCTGAAGGTCTAATCCACAAGGCAGTGGAGCATCGTAAGGAGATGCAGTCCCATGTAAGCCGGTGACCAACAATTGGTTCATACGCCAAGACGTGGTATTAATCCATCAAAACAATGACGATTGGATTGAGTTATATACTTGGGCGCATACTACCTGGTTGTAGTCCGCATGATTATTGCAACTAATGGTTGGAAACTTTGAACGACATGGCTCAAAACCGTTTGCAATGGTGCAGGTGAATCCACTCTTTGTCTTCCCCTAAAATTCTAAGCTTTTGACTTCCCAATGATTTTTTTGTTTCATGAATGGTACCATGTGTGCTTAATCTTTTCTATTACCATATATACTGTTAATACCTCTACTAATCTGTGATGTTTGGCCTGATAATTTCATCTCTCTGTGCTAATACAATATAGCAACTTGAATTGATGGACAAACATACTAAGTTCTACATTGAGTTTGACGAACTGATTAAATTACAGCATATGCAACATTTCTTCATAGACATTATTTGCTATGGAACAAGAGTATTGGAGAAGTTAGAACTCTTTTAACTATTATTATTTATATTTCTACTGTATAATTAATAAATAAACTGAACCACTATATTTCTATATTCTGCTTATTGTAAGCTTTTGTTTAATAAACTGATTAGTATTATTACACGTTATTATTCCTAAATTATTGTTAATTGAACTATTTGCGATTGCCTGGTGGCTCATAGACATTCTTAGCCTGTTTGTATATAAGTAAGATTTTATATTTTATGGTGTGATGTAGTTTGATTTACTAAGTATAGAAATTGACGAGTGCTCGAAATAGCTACTGTGCTGTACTGATGGGCTGGTCGGTTCGAATATGATGGATAAGGTTGATCGGGGTTTTCTTTTCGGACTAAAGGATAGAGATAGGAGAGGACACTGCGTATCAGTGGACCAACAGGAATTAAGCTTACGTTAGCCCAAGGTTAAATGTGTCAGAACATACTGTTGATCAAGCACCAGGTTATGGACGAAACAGCAGATGCAGGGTAGATAAAATATAATCGAAATCCTGATTGGCGAACTTAGCAAATAATATTGATTAAAGGCTCAGATATAACATTATTGATAGTTATTGACTCATTCACCAGGCATTTAAGTATGATTAACATTAGGATTGAAGGGTTATAAAAATACTATCCGATTGCCTAAACCAAAATAAATAGAGCAGTGTTAGAACCGGGATCCGAATGCCTTGCCTATTAACCAATCACACTTAGCATAACTAAATAATGTGCTTTTTCGAAATAATGACTTACAGAACCAGTATCTGATTTAGCTGAGTTTGTTGAACAGAGTGCTGCTACTTTTGACAATCCAGGGGATTTTTCCGGATTTTTTGATTCCGTGTGAAAATGTTTTCTAGAGAAAACGGGAAAGTATTCATCGTCATCATCTTCATCCTCCTCCACCACTTCATCTTCTTCTAATTCTTCATTATCATAATAATACTCACCGTCATCATCATCATCATTATCACAATCTTCATCAACATAATCATAATCATCAACGATATCTTCTTCTTCATCATAGTCAACAGCATCCTCATCATCATATTCATCAACATCTTCATCGGTTGTATCACCAACTCCATCGTATTGCGGTAAACTTCGAGTTGTTGATCTAGCATTAAGATGAATAGATACTTGAGAACGCCTTTGACTAGAATATTTTTTTGAACTGCCTTGGATTTCATCATTTGGATCAAAGTTATCAGAATCATCACCTTTTGCATTTAACCGATCATCTTCATCGTCATCTTCGTCAAAATCCACAACAAAATCAGGATCATGACGTACAGCTCTTACTCTTCGAGCACTACGTCTAAGTGGTACACTAAAATTGTGAAATAAGCATAAACAAAATAAATTCACATCCAATCTCGATCAACATTTAATAAAGTAAGTATAGAGATATGAAAAATGAAAATAAAAAGGAAAACTACTAGAGTAAACTTTATGAAGATTGTCAGATTGCTCTGATATTCGTTCGAGTGTCTAAATCAACTACGAAATCATGTGTTAGACAACTTGACATTACGGTTATCAATAATGTTAAGCTATCTAAGTAGATGCTGGGGATCAAATCCACGTTATCAAATCATCTAAGTGTATCGAGTTCAGTAATTACGGTTATGTTTACGTTTATTTAGTCACTCAAATGTAGATATTTTAGAATAATTTGTATTGGAAGTATGACTTTTGTTCTACTGTAACTTTTCTTCCATCATGTCTAAGTGTGCTACACTTGATATGTCCGTAGCATAATGGAGTGGTATTTTTGTCGTAGAAAACCTTACATTTCTCATGTAAGCCTGTAAAAGTGACAGAACAAAAAAAACACCCACTCCATCACGGATTACGACAGTGTAAATAATAACTGCCGCTTCATTTTGGTTGGTTGCCATGTGAAAGGTCAAAAAGTGCAAACGAGAGTGAAGTTTATCCTCACCCTAATTGGAGCAATTCACATATGTGCTTAGAATACATAAAGTTCCATATATAACACTTATTTAATAGCCCAACAATTGTTAAATAACAGCTTATGATCAATTCTCATACTTCGAGGCTTCAACATTAATATTTACAATCCAATTCATACCAAGCAAAAACACACAAAACAAAGTATTTACTACTTACTTTTCTCTGGCCGACCAACTATTGACTCGTCCAGTATTCGCAGTAACTGAATCAGAATCAGAGCCTGATTCACTCAGATCACTACTTCGATTGGTACGACGCTTTTGATTAGAACGATATGTTTGTTGTGGTGTACGACTATTATGTGTAGATGCTGTCTTTTGTACTGGATTAAAAGCAACTTGATTCATATGTATGTTAGGAATGGTTCTAGGTGCAAGTACTCTAAAAAAAAATTATACGAAAAAGTGAAATATGAATTAGATTATGGAATATTTCCAAGACGTGGAAAATATATAAAATGGCTTGAAACTATTTTTGACAACATCCACAGATATTGACTAGGAAGTGCAATAACATGGTATCAACCATGAACATGCTTGTATATTTTAAAAATAAAATGATTATTGCGTTTCGTAATTTGTAAAACTACACTTATGAGATTGAAGTAGGTCAAATAATTTTATAACTATATCTTAATGGGTGGAAATCCATTGTATAGACGAATGTCGAGCGATAACTAATTGGTTGGGGGTCATGCAGTTTTCATGACAAATGGTTGGAGACGTTGAGCAGCACAGTACAGAATCAGACACAACACGGTACAAATACGTTCACTCTTTATCTCGACCTTAAAAATTATTTTATAGTATTTAAAGTTGCATATCCTTATCTCATCTCAAATCATAGTTTGTGCCTGGCTTTATACCTCCACATTCATTGATACTACTATTACTACCGATTTGATATCCACCTTGATAATTCCATCTCGCTGTGATGTGTTGTGGCAACTTGATCTGATGCCAGTTATTATGTTGTTTAAGTCTGACTAGTTAAATTTTTCGAAGTGTCTATATATTTAAGAATATCAAATGAATGAGTAGCTGTCACAATTCATGGTCTATCATTTCTTGAAGTGTAGAATACAAATACTGCCTTCGTAAAAAAGCGTCATCAGTTCCAAGTATCATCATCACTTGGAACAAGTGCAAAGTAAAGTTTGTAAATGAAATCCGTTTAACAAAGTTGAAAGTTATTGAATTAGCTTTAGAAATACATAATAGATAGAGACAGACATTAAATACATACACATGAACACAGATAAGCTTTACATAACTACGGACAAGATGGATGTAATAAACACAATAGAGAGGTAGATATTACACAGATGTAACATACAGACAAGAACTACATACACACTAACCTGTAACGAACACCTTGATCGGTCAATACTGACTGCTGTATCAATTGTTTGCCACCACCAAAAGTTGTAACAGTGGTATTAGTAGTATTATTTGAATTTTCATTTAGCTGAATCAACCTGGAGTTTGTCATCACAACATTACCACTACCAACACCACCTACCGCTAATGTTGATGGTTGTGATGGTTTAATTAGGAGAGCAGTTTGTTTAGCTTTTACAGCTTGTGCTTTAGCTGTACGCGCTTGTTGCGCTTCCGTGCCTAATGTGGTCAAACGTTGTACCACTTCATTATGACGTTTTTCCAGGTTTTCAATTTCTGCTTCTAATTTACTAACCGCATTCAATGCAGCCAAACTAGCTTTTTTATCGTTCTCAGCGGCTATATATCGATGCTCTAGTAAGTTATCAATACGGAAACGTAGTCGTTTACTCGACGATAACGATGATGAAGAGGAGGGATAACTGTGCTCCTTATCAATCGGTGGAGGGAAATGAATTCGATTGGAAATGCACTACAATGAAGGATAGAAAAATAGCAAGGACGAATATAACACCTTATTTTGGTACAGCAATGTATCAATACAATTAACCTTGACGTACATCGACTTATTGTTTCATTGAAAAAGAAAACAGATGGTAGAAATTAAATATGGTAAAATTAGATGATATAAACACTTTTATAATCGGATGATGTGTTGTCCAAACCAAGTAGTGGTATCAATCCAAGAAGTCATAATCTGTCAGAATAAGACCTTGTAGGCAGCCGCAGATTAGCTTATTGAAGTTAACACAATTATCGAAGGCAATGCCCCCCAAATGCCCTGGTACGATTGAGAGTCGGAAGAGTCCGCTCTCCCTCTCGAAATCCTCTCACATGGCCACGCGTATATAGCCTCTGACATGGGAGTCCTACTCAATGCCTTCTCGTGGCGAGAGTGTTGTTTACAAAATTGAGAGGACGAAAAGCGAATATCCGGGTTGGTGGATATGGAGGATCCACCTAGGGAAGTTGGAAAACACTGGTTCTAAACTAATGGTGCACATGGGCTCCAGTATCTTGAGGGAAAAGTGGCGTATGAACCTATTGTTGGTGACCGGATGCCATGGTACTACATCTCCTTACGATACTCCACTGCCTTGTGGATCAGACCTTTATGTTAAAGTCTCCAGGTGTGGTCCCCTAAGAAAACCACCTGTTTCGGTTTGGGCACCCAGGCAGCATCACAGCCCTCACACATATCAAATGAGATTTGTGTGGTGCATATGTATTTGGTGCCTTCTTGTACCAATATCTGTGTTAAAATAAACAAATGAATAAATAATCGTAGGCAATAGCTAAGGATACTATGTGATATGGCTTAGTAGTGATCTCAATGACTCAGATGCATTCTTAATTGTCGTTTAATATATATTCCTCCAAATTCATTCTTCTAGAATCATATTATCTATGTCTAAAATCTTTTTCACTACCACTGAGAGTACAACTATTTCTACCACTTTGTTGTTTATCTTGATAACTGTATCTCTTTGTACTGATGTGGTGCGACAAGTTAAACCAATGTACATATGCGTTAGGTTCTAAATTGCTAATGATCAACCGAAACAGTGTATCACAACTTATAGACTACAATGTATTACTTTCCAGTTAAAACCTTAATTCACAATCAAATTACCTACTCACTACTACGACATATTAGTATTAAAAAAACAGGAAACCTAGAAAAAAATCCCTGTCGACCGACTCTTAACCCCAATATACTAGACTGCAATTAAGTGCTAATTAACTAGGAGGACACATCATATTTCTTAATCAGAGAACAGTAACTCAGCTGGGGAGTTTGACTTTCAGACATTGATTCTCAGTTTCCAATCCTGTTTCACCTACTATGACTTAAGCAACTGGGTAGTATTTACACAAAGCTGTATCAAGTGAATGAGTAAAAATTTCGTAATTGACAAACTTGATCAACACTGAATAGCAAGTATTGACCGTGGAATATTTTTGGGCATCGCCCAATTCTTTTCCTCATCATTGATAACTATGAAGGGAAATGAATCCATGTTAACGGAAATGATACAACTGAAGAGAGGAATATTGAAATTGTATAGCATTACACTAAAATTAAAGTTCAAACATAACAGAACATATTTATTCAAAAATTTGCCCACAGGCAATGTAAACGATTACAAATAAAACACAGCTTACATAAGAAATATTTAACACTGGATTCTTATTGTCATCATTAATTATTTTACTGTCATTTGTATTATTATTGATAGATGATGTCTGACCTGAAAGTGAATCTTTTTTCTGTTCTATTTTGATTTCTGATGCATTACAATTCCCACGCAATCCATCTAACTGATCGATTTTATTTTTCTCAAAATTATCATTCATTACATCTTCATTCATATTATTTTCATTTTTATTTACAGTGATCATATTATCAGAGTCTGGATCCTTCTTTTTAGCATCATCAACATGAGATGAATTCATTTGAACATTGTTTGTTGAAGATTTCAATATCTGTTCATTTAGACTACATAATTCATCAGATGGAATAATATAAGGATTTCGTTTAGGATTTAAATACAGTGGAATACCGGTAATTGGATGTAGTACATGTCCACGACATTCGCTTGCTTTTGGTGGTTTAACAGGCATTTGATCCTTTTGAAAAAAATAATAAAAGATGATTATGAAGATAAATACACTTGAAACACTAACAGACAAAAAAATGACCAGTTTTTTAATTGAGCTGGTATATCGTGAATAACACGATCGAACTACAATGGTTGGAATGTTTATTCTTTTAGATCCCACATGCAGCTTAGTTGGAGAACGGTAAAACTAAAAGTTGGAATCGTACAGCTGGTTGTATTTGGGTATGAGGAAAGATGTTTCCTTGGAGAAATAGAAACCGCAGTGAATTTGCCTTTCCCAAATAGGAAGAGACAACAAAAAATAATGGCTTTACAAATAGCACACCACAACATGCATCACGGATTTCAAATGTGGGCAGTAAGGCTATTAAATCGTGAAGCCAATAAATAGCAAACAACTCGCAGAAAGGTCGTGTGCGACTATCTGTAATTAGATGTCGCTCAGGCCCCGTGTTTACGCTTCCAGGTAGCCAAGACCATATCTAACCCTGTTTTCTTTGCAGACACCTCAAGAAGAAGTGTGGTGTGTGCTACTTATATTGGCATAAGTAGTAGATGATGTTAGTCGTGAACAGAATGTCTGGCAGAAGAGAGACAAGAGGATCGAACAGTAAAGAATGGAAACAGAATGCAATTTGTATGAAAATGCAAGAGCAATGAAGTCTGAGTCATTATGAGATAATTGATGGACATTTTGAAAATTACGTATTTTATTAACAAGTCCTGTAATTTTTTGTCAAATACATTCAATTGTCCTAACCCGTGTTCTGTTCACTACAGAAGTATCCTTCCACAGTCTGGGCAACCATAAATTGTGACAACCGCCTGCATATCGCTAAAAGCACTCAAGATGACCCAATAATAGTGGAAATTTAATAACAAATGTTTTCTCGTGTGATTTTGGCGAAAGCGTTATTCACCACTCACAACGATTAAGTTTTGAATAAATAATCATGAATTTCCTGATAAATAAAAAAATATACGGCGAACTCACTTGTAAATACTCAGGACAAACACCCCACCCAATACCGTGTTGAAGACCGCGTGGATTACCTCGACGAAGCAATAAACGATTACCCGATGAAGTAACAGTTAGTTCCAACTGACGACCAGAGGATATTGGAGGGTGGATAAGTACAGCATGTTCAGCCATTCGACCAGCATTACTACGAGTTGCACTTAGCCACATCCAACCATCGCCACCTAAACGACGATATTCTTCACCACGAGTCTTCCAAACAGTATGTCTGACTGGACGAGGAGTTTTTGTACGTATAAGATTTGTTGGTAGATTAGCTGGATTTATATTACTACTACCAATACCACCACTAACTGTTGAACTAAAACGATCAAATTGTCGTAAACGCTTATCTTCTTCCCTTTGAGAAGCTGTCATACGTTCCAGAGTTAAATGACCTATTGCAACGTGAAAAAAAACACTGGTAATTTTTTTTTAAAACATTCCCACTGACCTATCCAGCATGTCAATACAATTATTGAGAGCGTCAAACCTTACACTTTACTTCTACTTGTCTGAATAAACCGTTCGTAAAATTGAATCAACGAACAAATCAAGTGCGGAGCACATAACTTATACATAGTAGAATTCCTAAATCCATAATCATAATAAACATTAGTACTTTAACAAATTTCACTAATAATATCAATGAAAATGGTGTAGATCACCAAATTTATAATGAACATACCAAGCGAATTGAACCAGACACGTTGAAAACATACAGAACGAATGGATGCTTCTAATCTGGCCAACAAAAATGCTAATTCAGATGGAGACTTAGAATGTAAAACATCCTTAATCCAATTTGTACGATGAGCTCGCCATGCTGGAGTGTAAAATGCTAGTGGAATCTAAAGTGTGAAGAAAAAATTAAACTATAGAGAATAAAGAAAACATCTCTCAATACAACGTGAAGGAAAAATAAACTTAAATTCGGATATAAGTTTCGTTTTCATTTAAAAAACAACAACATTTAAAGGAAAAACTATTGGATTTATGTGTCATACCAGGGGTAGTGAAACTACTCAGTTTCTCAAAGTGAAGCATGCAGTGATATACATATATAAATTATTCACTCTCGTTTCTTATTCTGATTGGGTAGGAGTCAAGTGAAGCATTGTAGTCAGAGTATTCTATCTAGTGACGACATAACACCGCGAGAAAAAGTCAAGAACAAATCAAACTTCCGTTCTATATTAGAGGATATTTTCAAAAGATTTCATATACAGTTAAGAATGAATCCCCTAACACAGCATTCACAATTGTTACTTTTAATTAATGCTATCCATACATTCATAATACTTTTTCAACATTAGAGAATGGAATATAAAAAAGATGTAATGAAGTGAAACTTTGAGAATAACTATATATTACTCTGCTGTCAAAGAGTGGTGATATAAACTAGTTAAATAAAACAGAATACAAAATACTTTCGATAAAGCATTCCTATAATGCATAGACATGAATGTTCAAAGAATATAAAGAGTTAATTAGGTATATACTCTTCAATTATGCTCCTTCAGAGTATAGTGGTGAATATCTCCAGCTTTTACATGGAAAATCTAGGTCGATTTCTGGAGTTGCTATTTTAGCGAAGTGCTAACTCAATGGTTATAGTGTGTTTGACTTTCAGTCACGGGTTTGAACTTGAGCTCCATCTATTACCGTTTCAGTGAAAAGGTTGTATATTTTCTAGCGCTAACATTCAATGTGCCTCAAAACTATGTACGCTGATCTATATCTAACTGATGAATTAATAATAATAATAATAATAATAATAATAATAATAATAATAATAATAATAATAATAATAATAATAATAATAATAATAATTCAACTCTATAATGATACAGAATAGCAGGGATGATGGAAATCTGGCTGTGCCATACAGATTTCATACAACTCACGTATGAATATATGCTGAAAATTGAATTAAATAATCTTTATGCTGTACTGAACTGTGAGATTAATAATGGGCATTTGTAAAATGGTATATGCTTATTATTTATTTGTTTGAACAGATAAAGAGTGGTACAATGGGAAACCAAAAATAAATGCTCCACCCAATAGTAATCAGGTTGTGAGGAGATAGAGGAAAGTGATTATAATAAAAAAGTATACTTAAAAAAGAGATTTATAAGTTTGGTGACAGGGGTGAGTGAAGTATGTACACATAAAATAATCCATTCGTTTACCAGGTGCTTAGGTATGAATTGCACTCTAATTGTGAAAGTCAATGATACCACGACTCGGTGACCCGAACCGAAGTAGATAGAGCAAGGCTCGAATTCAGAACATTGCAGACTAAACTGGAATACATTGACCACAAAATCACCACATACAAAAAAGAAACATTGTTAAACTCTACTTACTTTTGACTCGAAATAACAAAGTGTTAATCGTAATAAATTCAACAGTTGGTGTGGACTAGCCGGCCAACATTCATATCGAGTAAAATCAAAATCACTGAGTTGAGGTAATTCAATAACACTTGCCATCATATCTCTGACGAGTTTGTAATTATTAGATAATTCTACCGGATCGATATACTCCCACATATCTGCACATAATTCACTTACATTAAATTTATTCGATAATAATCGTCGACGTTCTTTTTCTTCCATATGCTGTGCACGTGTCAAAGCAATATTTACACTATCTGATATTAGATCATCTGCATTGGCAGTACTGTTATTACCGTTATTATTATTATTCACAGCATTTGAATTCCTTGTACCACTTGGTGTTCTTTTAAGTTCACTTAAATCATCATTTCGGTGACTATCCGGCATGGTGGTACACTCTTCTCCAGTCCAGACTCCAGACGTATATAAATTTGTCCATGATCGCCAATTTCCTTCATCTGAAAAACGATAGGCTAGTAAACAACATTCATTGGAATTCGGTAACCAATCTGGATCGATCAGCATATGTAAGGTAGATATTTCTTGAGGTTCTAATATTGTCGGTGGATAAGTTGCGACGTCATCATCCTAAAACGATAAGATATAGCATAAATGATGGTTAGATTTATACAACTTAAAATAAACAACATGAAAATTAAACAATTGACTTTCTGATATAATTATACTTAGTGTAACAATCCATGTGTAATGTTATTTAAAGCTAAGAAAAAGAACCTTAAATAAGTAATAAAAAAGTGATAATTATCAGTATAGAGTTGTGGAGATTATTGAGTTTCACTAAAATTACGAACCGGTCAATGTTAGACCACCATTGAAAACCTGGAAGCACCGAACGACCGTTTCATCTTAGTATGGGACAGTGCACATCGCAAACAGCTAGACGAATCTACTCGTCGACTTCCGGTACTCCTTAATAAATAACTTCTCATTTCATCTTGTCGAAACATATTCGCGATTTTTAGTTTTTTTTTCATCATGATTGGTGCACTATTTTGGATTTTTTGTGACTGATCGTGTTAATTCCACCCCATTGTGATAATGTGCTGTTGTAACGCAAATTTGTGCTAGGTTCCACTACATTGATTGTGACGCGCTGAATGAGAAAACCCTTATTCGTTGGCAAACAAGTAACCTATAAAGTTCATGTTTTTAAACTACTTATGATGAAATTAAATTATGTTTAATTTGTACTGAATGATTTACATAGAAGTATGTTATTTTACTAGGGAAAGAAAGCCTATTTTGTTGGACAAATGACTTAACTTCCGATATCGATTCATTTGGTGAGGATGGGGACGGAAGCAAGGAAAATCATATGAGTGATTTAATTCCATGTAAAGTTAAAAAATAGCCACATTGCATTACTGCAGATTTATTATCAAACGATCAGTAGTGTATCCATTCATTTTAACAAATGAAAGCGAACACTGATAAGTTACCATTTGAAAGTTTTAACTACTGATAGGTAAAGATAAGATTAATTTTGATAAAAAATATGTAGTACAAGACAACACTGACGAACGTACTCGAGTAAAAAACTTAGATTCAGGTTCCCCTACCTATCTCCAACCACTTAACATCTTAAGACGAAAAGTCGAATCAATTAGACTAGTGGCTACATTGCAACCTGATTGATGGAATTTGATTAGTATGAAGGGACCAGAAAAACATAATATTAGTCACTACTCAACGATCAACCAATTTTAAATGTGTCTTAAAGCTATCGCAACCTGAATAGCCTAGTGATAATGTCTCAGAGTGCAGTTGAGTGACGAGGTTTCGGATCCCACAGAGAGAACCAACTTCTTTCAAAACAGTAAATATTACTTATTAACGAGTGCTGACTAGCACGAAACCTGAATCTGCGATCTCCTGACGGCTACTTCCAAAAACTTAACACAGTAAGAGGGGTCATCTAATGAAAGCCTAGAACTGCATGAAGCTCTAGAGCGAGAAAAAAAACAAATAAAGGGACTAGTTGATTAATTTAGAACCTTATTATAACAAATCCTCCAACTATGGATCATCTATTACTAACTTTTCTGTTGATACTAGAATAGTACCAAAGAATTATTATGCGATTATTTGTAAGGATTTGAGTTATCCTGCAGTTGGCATTCGTGATTGAAGCATGATCAGTCTTTATTGGCAGATTTTCGTCCTGTACGGACAGTCTCAATACAGTTTGGTTGCAATAAGCTTCTTTAAAATATATGAATTGTGACTACAGGTAGAATTGAGCAAAATGTTTTTTCCTAACTAGGACTAGTCAGCTGAATGTACCTCCATCCTTGTGTCGATATTTAGATTGAGGCCTGAACGCAACACTTTTCACTTCAAATCTCGGCGCCTTATACATTGAAATACTGAATCCAGATGAGCACTAATAAATTTTACAGCACATGTCAGTCAGTAACAACGTAGAACTTAGTACGTACGTACATCAGTTCGAGTTGCCATACCACATTAGCACACAGAGATGCAGTGGTCGATTCAAATCCCGTAGTGGTAGAGGTAGCAAGAGTATAAGCAGTAATCGGGAAGATTAGGGTTTGGAGATGTTATTTAACGAGTAAAATCCAGTGCAATAAATTTGGAAAGAGGAAAAAAAGGGGCATGAAGAATTCAGATAATTAGAATTTGGGAGATCATAGAGAGTGGATGCACCTGCGCCATTGCAAACGATTTTGAGCCATGTCATTCAGGGTCTCTAACCATCGGTTGCTATCATCTCGCGGTCCCCAACCAGGTAGTCTACACCTACCAACATGACTCAGTCCACTTGTCAGTGACTTCATGGATTTGTGCCATGTTTTGGTCTGGCCGCCCCTAGCTTTCTTCCAACCTACTCCTATACCACTGAATATAGCACGTCGAGGTAGTCGGTGGTTGGGCATACGTAACACGTGTCCCAGCCATCTCAACTGATGAAGTTTCACTACTTCATCAATTGATTTGCCATCCTTACCTAGTACCCGTTTCCTAACAGTTGCGTTACTTACTCGGTGGTCCCAGGATATACGAGCAATACTTCGAAGACACCTTACAGCACATGAAAAACCTAACATTACTTGACTTCGTGAGTGTCTTGGTTACAATGAAATCTGATGGACACACAATCTCATTGATCAAAAGTAAAGATCCATACAAAATTAAAAACAGCCTTTATTCGACTGATTAAGAAAATTATGTGGTTATATGAGGGAGAAACGAATAAATAGCATGATAGTCAACTAGAATAAGATTCTTACATTACGAATAAAGCAGGTCCTTTCAATAATCTTTACGCAGTAGATAACGTGACTACCAACAAGCATATATTCATTCAAGTAATCACGTGCAGACACACTGAGATATGCTCAGAGCTTCACCAGCTATTCAAAGATTAATGATACTACCATATAGTTACAAAAATAGATGAGGTGAATAGTACAAACACGAATCCAATTGTTGAGGTGTATTTTTAATCCATGGAGTTAGCGTTTTACGACAAATTAACAAAAATACCAGTAAGCTGATGAGAAACCATGGATTAAACAACGACGAACATTCCAATCATAATTGTCAAGCTCTATCAAGAAGCTCGATGAATAAACTTTTATACTAACAGAATAACCAGTGAGAGGCTACGACCAATCAGGTAGTCTAAAGTTTAAGGGCTTGCAGAGGCATTAAATTATAGCATTGATACCTGATAAGATCGTAGATGGTTACTGTTGGGGAGTTGAATACTGGGATGAAACAACTAGCCTGTGACCCTTATATTTCAATGGCTATTTATATAAGGTCAGTCCCGCGGCATAAACTGTAGAATAATCAAAGTTGTAGGAAAACTTGTTTTGATCTTTGATCCCAGTAGTTCGTTTCATGACTGGGGCAGTCTAGTGATGTATGATTACAAAGTTTAAAATAACGATCTAAACATTTGGAAGTGACCAAATATAGAGTAAGAGATACTCCAAACGAACAGTTTCCTTTTAAAACAATAATACAAGGTATGATAGAACTGGGCAAAACATCATATTACAAGGACTAAGAATAAAATTTAGTTAATACCATTAAAGTTAAGAATCGAAGAGAACAGTGATGCATTATTATTATTATTATTATTATTATTATTATTATTATTATTATTATTATTATTATTATTATTATTCTGTTAATCGTGATTGAAAAACAAACGTAACACTTACAGAAGTTTCTTTTACCATATGAGTAATAACTTGATCTCCATTACCCACAATACAACTATTCTCGTCTGTAACAATCAGAGAAGCAGAAAGATCCGAAAGCTGTTTATTCAAAAGAGCCGGTAATTGTTTTGGTAAAGTTGGAAAGACAGGTACATCCGCTGATGGTAGACTAGAAGCTGCGATAGCCTACAAAAAAAACAGGTTATCTATGAGTTGTATTGATTAAAAGCCCTAAGCATTTTAAAGAGAAAACAATAAGAGATTAATTTAAAATCATACATATCATAAATTCATTGATATAATCCGATCAGCAATAGGAAGGATTTGATACAAATGACAATGGTCATTATTCTCTGATCATTAAACGTAAAAATATATTAAAAGATTTTTCATCTAGTTAACGGGACCGGGACGCATCAGAGTAGTTTAGCTTGTCTTGTCATTGTGTCGCTGATCTTTCGTTTCGTTCGCCGATTTTAGGTGATCTCGTAAACTCTTCAAACATAGCATAACGCTACCCGGTTGGCCAAACAGAAATAGATAAAGTAGGATTAGATACTGGGATTTATTGGCCAAAATTTGAAAACATTGACCACCAAGCCACTATTTCTCAATTTATTGTAATCGGATAATAATATTATACACATTTGTGGTTTTGTACACATCTTTTGTTAGAAGCTAAAAAATACAATCAATCTACTGAAACATTAATCAGTAGCGTTGGGTTTAAACAAGCAACAAAATGAATGGAAATGAAGTGCCTGAACTAGCAATATAGATGAGAGTTTTGGTAAGCTTTGATAACTCTACATGTATCATTTGGTACACAGACACGAGGAAATTACGGATATTACCAAGTTTTATGATTTATTATCATTAGTTTTTAAGGTCAGAAATGAAAACAGGTATGTATTATCCGATAAACTTTACCACAGAAAAAGACTTACAAGTCTCGTTTTAGGATAATCTGATGTTTCACCATGACTTTTCATCGATATAGTAGACTTTTTAAAAGAAACTGTAAATGTTATCGAAAACAAAAACAAAGTATGATAAAAAAATTTTACTAACTCTCACATTTCCATTATCAAAAAGAAAAAGAAAACAAAAGTTTAGTGCTACTTTTTCACTGTTAAGATTAAAACACTAATGTAGAAAGAATAATAGTTGTCACAGAGTGTATGATATAAATGACACGTTACGTATCACTTACGCCTACTCACCTTGATGGAGATGGTGTTAGTCGATGTAGGACTAAGTAAGAAAAGAGCTAGACAGCAGCCTAACAGAAATGTAGCATATATTTATAAGTCAGTAACAATGTAGAACTTCGTACGTACGTACATCGATTCGAGTTGCCACACCACATTAGCACAGAGATGCAGTTTTCGACTCAAATCCCGTAGTGGTAGTAAGAGTATTAGCAGTAATCGGAAACATTAGGCTTTGAAGATGTTATCCAAGGAGTATAATCCAGTGAAATAAATTTGGAAAGAAAAAAAACAAAGGGACACAAAGAATTCAGAAAATTAGAATTTCGGAGAACACAAAGAGTGGATGCACCTGCTCACACCATTGCAAACGATTTTGAGCCAAGTCATTCAGAGTCTCTAACCATCAGTTGCTATCATCTCGCGGTCACAAACCAGGTAGTCTACACCTACCAACATGGCTCAGTCCACTTGTCAGTGACTTCATGGACTTGTGCCATGTTTTGGTCTGGCCGCCTCTAGCTTTCTTCTAACCCACGCCTACACCATAAAACATCGCATGTCAAGGCAGTCAGTCGTTGGGCATACGTAACACGTGTCCCAGCAATCTCAAATGATGAAAAATCACTACTCCATCCATTGATTTGTTATCCTTACCCAGTACCCGTTTCCTAACAACTGAGTTACCTACTCGGAGGTCCAAGGATATACGAGCAACGTTTCGAAGATATCTATGATCGAATACTAGCAACCTACGAATTATATATTTATACATATTTATAAAGCCGTTGGCTGCTGTTTTGAAACATCTTGGTAGATGTAGACTACGTAAATTAGGTTAGGGCGATAGACATTGTGTGACATGATTCAGAATCGGTCATTGTCTCAGATGCATGTTATTTTATTTTAACACATAGATATTGGTACAAGAAGGCACCAAATACATATGCGCCACACAAATCTCATTTGATATGTGTGAGGGCTGTGATGCTGCCCGGGTGCCCAAACCGAAACAGGTGGTTTTCTTAGGGGACCACACCTGGAGACTTTGACATAAAGGTCTGATCCACAAGGCAGTGGGGTATCGTAAGGAGATGTAGTACCATGGCATTAGGTCACCAACAATAGGTTCATACGCCACTTTTCCCTCAAGATACTGGAGCCCATATGCACCATTAGTTTAGAACCAGTGTTTTCCAACTTCCCTAGGTGGATTCTCCATATCCACCAACCCGGTTAAAGCACCGGATATTCGCTTTTCGTCCTCTCAATTTTGTAAACAACACCCCCAACACGAGAAGGCAATGAGTAGGACTTCCATGTCAGAGGCTATATACGCGTGGCCATGTGAGAGGATTTCGAGAGGGAGAGCGGACTCTTCCCACTCTCAATCGTACCAGGGCATTTGAGGGCAGATGTACTGTTTATTCTATTCCAGATCTTGGGTTACAGTATTACTTCATGCATGTCTTTACATCCTATATTTTCGTATTAATTTTCCTCGCTATCATTGTTATTACATTATTTAGATTTCTTTAATATTCATTTTGTTCATTTAATCTAATCATGACAGATTGGGCCTAAGCATGGATGGTGAGACTCTACGTTGATGATCATGACTGATATAGAAATCTATTAGGACGAAAGCTGGTGCTGTAGTAATATGTAGCGATAAAGTGTAATGAAGATAACAAATATCTATTCATAGGTTCTAATCAAATAAAATTATATGTCCGAATGATGAGTCAATACAAACATTATATGAAATATAAAGTATGATCTTAACTTTCCTCAGTCTCAGCTATTCAGGTACATATTCGACTACATGACTTAAAGCTAAATTCTAAATGTGAGAGATGGTGATGCTACAACACGGCTGGCAAACAAACCGAAGTAGGTGGAGTGAGGTTCGAAGTTGAGACATAGCAGCTGAAAGTTGAACGGATCAAGATAAAAGATATAAATTGGCTGAAATCCTGTGAAATAGTTAACAAAGAATTATACGACACAGTTACATATAAACAAGTTTCCCTTGTGTTATAATATGACTTCTGACAAGAAAAAAGTATCAATTCTCACTGGCGATAATTGCATTGACAGTAATCGAATACAATTTTATGTACGGCACCTATATGAAACACCTTGTTTCAATCAAAATAATACTCGGATTTTATTCAGTTCTGATATTAGCTTGGTCGAAAATGTTGGATGCATGAGTTGAGAGAAGAAATATTTCTTCAATTAATTGAAGAGAAATACTTATCCGCTCAACTTGAAGTAATAGTATCTTAATAAGAAATTCAACAAATATTAAATATATTGTTGAAAAATACTTTATTTCATATAAGTTCGATCAGATTGTGTTACGAGGATAGTTCTGACCATTGAATCCTTGAGTCACAATTAAATCAGAGCACGTTGACTAATACGTTTCCAACTAATTAGCACTAGCGAATGAATTCAGAAGGTACTAGATCCTTGCATGGATTTTAAATAAGCCCTGACGATTTTACAATACTATCTATGGTGCTTCAAATATTGAAACATACTTTTGTTCGTTTCACACTTATTTTGATTCAGAGCTTATCGAATGAAGTACTGTGTTTAAGGAATACTATGTGGTGCAAGCTATAATACTGACGACAGGAAAAAAGAAATTGAATTCAAGATGCCGATCTCAGATGATCAACTTAATCGAATTCTTCGGCAGAAAAGGCAGCCAAACATGTAAATGCGTTGATTGAGGTTCTGATTCAGCAGCTTAATATCCAGTGTTACAATTCCCACACTATTTCAGCTACTCCTAATAATGGTGTTGCCAGCAGTATTCCTGAACTCACTTATTATACTTCTCTATATGATTTAAGTGTTTGGAAGATACGATTAGAATAGAATTTTGTAGGCAGGATGATGCTCCAAAGATTAGGTTATTGGTGTGTAAGCTGGAGAAGAGTGAACATACAAGCTATTCTGACCACATTCAGTGGGAGTTTCCTTGAGAGCTTAGTTGAGAGACAGGAATCTAGCTACCAAATGTATTCGGGAAGTCATCCATACTTTGATATTCAATATCAGGGTCTTAATATTGTGAGAGGTGAAGCTGATAATTACAGTAAGTTACCAAGAACCAACTAAATGTGAACGTTTCTAGCTACACTCATTGATGGGTGACCAATTCAAATATTTGTTATTAATCAGGGCTCTAGTTACTCCAAGGTGCTGAGATCAGAACTCGACTGAACCATGATCCAAATATATCATTCAGGACACTCAATTGCGTTGGTTCAAAACCTTAACGAACTATAAAACTTGAGGTACTGAGAACCTTACTCTGTTGGATGGTGAGTGTAAGCTTCATTTAAAAAAAAATAGAAGTATAACTGCTTAAACATGAAATAAAAGAATAATTGCACGAATAATTTCGGTGAAGAACTAACCTCGTTCAACTTCCAATACTGAAAAAACATACACTGTGTCTGGACTATCAGCTGTCAAGTTGAAACTTTGATTTGAATCACCATTATTAAGTGAAACTGATTTATGATTTGGTCTTGATGAACAAAAATCTAGGAAACCAGATTCAGTCAGTTTCTGTGTAATGGCCATTTCATTACGCATTCTAGGCAATAAGGCATCTAAACGATAACAAAGCCATGGTTCCCATTCAGTTGATAGTAATTCACGAATATACATTACTTGTTCAATGGATGAATAATAATAAACGCATGGTTCATTAGCATATGAAATTGATGGATTACACTGATATTTTTTACAGTTCTTTTGTTTATTATTTAACGTTGGCATAGGTTGACTACTATCACAATAGGATACTTTTGAAGTTGAATTGAGAGAATCGTTATTGGCAGAGTCAGTTGCGCTATTAACATTATTATTATCATCATTATTATTGTCGTCGATATCATCCTCATCATCTTTTATTTCTGGATCATCTTCCATTAATTCACGACCATATTCCATCTCCCATGAACGATCAACAACCCCATCGTGAAATCCCATCAATTGTGGTTCACATTGACTAAAGTCAACCGGTTCACTACAATGAAACAGTACATCATTAATAATGTAAGAGTAAACTAACAATACAACAAAATTTAAAGTTAATTTTACACACTGTAATATTTTTTGACTGAAAGCATTAGAAACAAAAAGTTGTAAACAATGTGGGATTTAGGACAAATTCTAACTGTACGAGTTCCTTGCTAAACAGGATAGATTTCAAAACCGAAAATATGAAATATTTCATTATCCTCTTAATAACTAGGATGTGATAATTAATCACTTAGTAATAATTATTAGTGCAGTATTTAATTTGGCATACTAATGAATCAAATATATAAGTAGATTTATGTTACCAGGGCAGATTGTTGACCAGCCTTAAGTTGGAATAGACTGATTAATCTATTTTTAACTAATTGAGATTCCATAAAATTTATATTAACATTCTACGTAAACTCAGGTGTTTGATTACCATATATTTATTGTTGTAGTTAATAGAATATATAGTGTAAGCTCCAAATTCTTGTTCTAAGTAGGAAAGAGTTGAGGAAAGTATATTATCCAAGGAATACTTGATAGTGGAACACAACAGTTTACATTAGATGTCTAATTTCCCAAAACAAGTAAGCAAGAGACATTATCTGCATCTTTTCTTTGAGAAACTGAGGTTGATTAAGAATACAGTGGTCTTGGGTGCTGTTAGAAGTATGTGGGCGGTTATCACTTCCCGGTTGCCCACACCGTGGAAGGGTCCTTCCGGAGGCAGCGGAAAAGGAAATTGGATTAAATGTGAACTTAAAGACCTGAGGTTGGTCACACGCGACCTTTCTATGAGTAATTCTTGTGTTTGCTTGGTACCTGTTGAGACCTTATCGTCGAGGACGGATATCCGTGGGATAAGGCGAGGTGTGCATTTTTAGGGTCAACCTTTTCTAACCCCAACATTCCTTGTGGGAAGGCAGCATCGCTGTCATGCTGGTTGTCTGAAGGAAACACCTTACTGCTGTCACACCTCTGTACAGTCAGCAGTACGACTTCGCCTTCGGACCTTGGGTTTGTTGCTTTTAGTCTTACCGCTCTTCAACCGACCTGCCTGACATGGTAGGACCTTAAGGAACGGTTGTTCCAGCCAGTATAGCTCGGTTGCTTCATCACAATAGGCAAGCCCGACCACCACGTCAAGGTAGTAACAACGGTCGGGCTTTGAGAAACTATTATTGAAGGAAGAAGTTTCAACAGTCCATTACTCTCATACACAATGTTGCACGATGATAGAACAAGTAATGAGATCCTATTAATCCAATTCAGTATATTTGTTTATTTACTGATATACAAACATTGCTACGAACGGACACCAAAATATATATGCACCACAGAAAGTAGTTACCATTAGATTAGTATGCAGGCTGAAATACTGCCCAGGTGCCCAAACCGAAGTAGGTGGTATTCTTAGGGAGCCACACCCAGAGCCTTTAACCCAGAAGTCTAATCCCAAAGCAGTGAGATAGCATTAAGAGATGCAGTCCCATGGTAACAGGTGACCGAGAATAGGTTTATATACCACTTGTTCCCTCAGGATCCTGGAGCCCATATACACCATTCGTTTGGAATCAGGGTTCTCCAACCCCCTTAGATGGCCCTTCCGTACCCACAAACCTGGTTTATGTACCGTACATTCGTTTTTCGTTATCTTAATTCCGTAAGCAACACGCCCACCGTGAGCAGGCAGTGAGTAGGGATTTTCTAGAAGTGGTTATACACTCATGGCCATGTGAGAGCATTTCTAAGGGGAGAGCAAACTCTTTCCACCCTCAGACATATCAGGGCACTTAGGGACCTATATATGTGTACAATGCAAAAAAACGCTTAAATCTATTTTTCAATGAAGACTAGTTAGATAGTGTCAAAATTTCGGCACAGCTGTAATTTAGTAATTTGAACACTCAGCATTTATAATACCAAAATTAAATCTGCTTTGTCTAAGATTTCCCAGTTGGTGCAATAATGTAGTCATAATGTAAAACGATCAGATCAATAATTCCACAATATGGAATTATACAGAATTAATAAGATGTATTTTTATTCATATAAAGGAAAACTTGGAAAGATGTCTTATTTTATAATATAAAATATTCTGTAACCTTGTAAATGCTGGGGTTTTAGATTAGAAGTCAAAGTAAGCGGACTTAGAACCACTTTATTAAACCTTCGAATTTACCATCAAATTGCATTGACCTGAACAGCTAAACACAGAAGATTGTCAGTCATAGGAAACTACTAAGATAGACTGAATTTCTGAGTTGTGCATGAAGGGAGGCTCACAGATGTGTTCTAAAAGAAAACCGATGTAAGATAAGACTGACTTATCTTGCTTTTCCTCGTCCTTCTAGGCTCTAATTGGATTGCGAAGACTTTCAAATCTCAGAGGAAGCACATAATACAGTGGACACTCTAGATGCAACTGGGTGGTTTGAACTTCGCAGATGACTTGGTCTTTTTTTACTATGAATGGGAACAAATGTTGATGAACACAATCAGTAAGCAGTAGGCCTCAATATTCACAAGAGGGAAGGCAAGATCCTGAGATAAAACACAGAGAGCACCAACTAAACTACATTTGATGGCGAAGCTCTGGAAGAGGCGGGAACCTTGATATACTTGGGAAGCATTATTAATTAAAAAAAGAGGATCTGATACAGACTGACAAAGCGAGGAGAGAATTTCTACTACATAAGAGTACCTGGAACTCAAAAAACTATCACACAACGCTTAAGTCAAAATTTCCAACACTAACGTTGTATGATGCTGAAACTTGAAGAACTGTCACAACCATCACCAAAGAAGTACAAGCATTTATAAACGACTGTCTATGCAAGATACTCTGTATCTGTTGGTTAGGGAATATCAGCATTAATCAACCGTGGCAGACAAGCCGACTTCGATACGAGAAAAAAACCAGAAATGGATGCTGGAGGTGGATAGGGCACATAATGAAGAACTGATCAAACTGCATCGTAAAGCAATCCCTAACTAGGCATCCTCAATGAAGACGGAAAAGTGGCAGATCAAAAGGACACATGGCGCCGGGAATTGTAGGTAAGCATCAAAAGAATGAAAAGTATTTGGCAACAACTAGAAATGAGCCCATGATAGAGTTGGATGAGGGACCTATGTCCCATGAGAAGGAAGAGGTTTAAGTAATTCAAGAACTCTAACATACTTAAATTCAAACTATTATAGGAAAAATAAAAGGATGAAATTCTTGTAAGAAAGAGTGTTGAGAGATGGATCTGATAAAGTATGTGAGTTGGAACAGATTCGAGTGGATTGATTTCACTCACAGAAACATTATTACTGACTAGGTTTTGAAACGTGGCAAGCAAAAACAAAACTGTGAAAGTTTGTTCGTAGGATCTTTCAATAAAAACTTACATAATTAGACGTCGACTTATGTACCAATACAAACGACCCGCTCGATCTTTCCCAATCGGTTCTTGATAATGTGCAACTCCACTCTTTTCTGCTTCTGATAGGCAATCTGTTACACCTGGAGTCTGTATAAAAGATTTAACAAAGGTATAACGTAAAATATCATCTTAACAATTAAAAATATAATACAACAAAACAGCCTGGTATATTAATTACGAATAGCCACACAATTATTAAGGCATAATGAAGTATAACGCAGAATCACTGTTGAGAGCTTGAAATTACGGCTCCATTATAATAATGGTCATGATTATAATTAGTGTGTTTATTACAAATTGAAATAAAACTGATACGATACCCGAAAGGTTTAGGCTATAAAACCTTTTGAATCTGTAAGAAAAGTGATAAAGAGACTACGTTAAGGTTTGTGATTTGCTCATATGGCTAACATAGATTAGTGGATGATTTTATGGATTTTAATCAACTTGAAGCATGAACAAAACATCCCAAACTGATGTTTCCTTCACATAAACACAATAGATCACAAAAGTGAACCGCTAATACAAACAGATAGTCACGTATGATCATCTAAGATGCCCGAACAATTGTAAATTCCAGTGATTTGCAAACTTAACATCCATTTTAATTACAATCAAATAATCTAAACTGATAGATCCTAAATAAAATATATATTTGTGATAACACTATACAAAAAGCACATATCTGTGCATAATACATGTCTGAAAAATATATCTTACTCTTTTACGAATACAGACTGGACAAATCCAACTAGTCGTTGGTACAGAGGATAGTGGAGGATTTAAACAATGTAGATGAAATACAGCCGTGCATCCGTCACAACACAAGACCTCTCCACTTCTATAAAGTAAAAAACAATGTAACAGAAATGTGTGGGGAAGTTCGCGTTGCCTGAAGAAATTAAATTAAAACTACTTTATGTTAATCTTTAATTTGGAAATAATATCAGCGCTATTGTGAACGATTCTGAACCATGTCAGCTAGCATCTCCAATCATGGGTTACGATAATCATGTAGACCTCAATCAGATAATCTACATTTAACTACAAAACTCAGCCCAATTGTTGGTGATTTCATATACTGATGTCAAGTCCTGGTTAAATCACAGCTAGCTTTCTTCCAACCTATTACTATACTAGCCATCATCACCCGTCGAGATAATCGGTGGTTGAGCATACAGGATACATATATCAACTACTCCAGTTGATAAAGATTCAGTATATTTATGAACAGACAGTAAACGGAAAAAAGTAGATTTCTATGTGATATATATTAAACGTGCCATTCAGTCTTATGACTATGAAAGCCGAAACTTTAAGTTTCGACCCCCTGAATAAAATTACGAGTGAATACAACTAAGTGAATAGTAGCTTTATTAGATGCTTACTGTACACAACATTGTTGGACAGTAAAAAGTCGAGTTTTCTAATAATATATGTAAACATAACGAACTCTAAAACATAAACCCTTACTTACTGGTGACAAACACGACAATAATCTTCGTGTGTCATTAAACCCTCCCGAAGTATATCACCTCTGACTGAACCAGTTGCCAGGAACAAGCTCGTAAGACCACGCAAAACAGCGATGCGTGATTTGATTGGCACGAATGGATAGTCTGGATTCAAGGGAATCAGATCTGGAGGAAACAAGGAAGCAGTAAGCACTATATCCGCTCCACCTGATCCAGTGGGACCACCAATTGAACCAGTAGCTGTCGTTGTATTGGCAGCAGACAAACGAGCAGCTGCCTCAGTAGATTTAATACTAGACAAATAATTGGCTAGTAGGTACGGCCATGTGAACCGATCTAGCAAGTAAAACGTCATGTTTACTGAATCTCTGCAATCAACAGGACACATTGCAGTTCCATTAGCTTCATCTTCGCGTAACAGAGCCTTGAGGAGAACCATATGAGCTTCGGCAAGTAAGTTGGAATTTTCATCAGATATAAGAGAAGCTGCAAAGTCTTCCAACCTGAATGGAGACAACCGTAGCAAAGAACCATAACGCCGAAGTACTTCATATATAGATAAGACATCGAGAATATACTCACGAGGACACACAAGATCATTCGCTGATGATGGTAAAATAAGAGGAGGAGAACGAAACCTTAGCTCTATGGGATCCATTTCGAGCATTTTTTGAGTATGTGGGTCGTTAAGAGAGGCATTAGCAACCGTTGTGCGCAGAGCATTCAAATCGTTACTGCTAGCAACACTGAGAGATTCACACTTAATACTGGATCTGTCTTCCTCGGAATTAGAAGGGATGACAGGAGATGGAGGTGGTGGTAGCATATCTAAGATAGATTGTCGGAAAGGTGACGCTGGTTCCTGATAGTCTTCCTCGTTCTGTTCATGGATGTCATCTAAGGATCTCGGATAATCGCTTTCTTGTAAAAAGCCACTTCGACCCACACCTTTGTCATCGAGTTCACTGAGATCATCGCTATCACTAACCTCTCTAAATCCTGCTAAAGCAGCATAATTCCTTTGTTTTTTGTTTCGATTGCTGAACTCACGCTGACTACCAGACTGACAGCTTAAATTGCTATCTGAATTTACAGGAGTTTGAAATTGATGAGTCATTAACGGGTCGACTTTTGCGCTACCTCTTCTACCTTGTGCATTAGCACGTGCAGCAGCTCGTGCTTCCATTTCCTAGAGTAAAATAAACACTTCAGGATAAAGAACAATATGAGAATTAAAAACAATTTTTTCTAAAATTATCGTTTAATATTTATTGTTCTAAACACGAAAATTCATTTTGGTAGCCAAAGATATTGTCCCACAAGACAGTCTTGGGAATCTGGGATACAGGTAACCCCATGAGTTTCCACACTTTTAGTTAGCACGTTTAAAAATAAAACGCCAGTTTAGTGTTAATGTTTAAATGATTATTTCGAAAGAACAATGCAAATAAAGGAAATTGGATGTTCATCAGTCTTTTATTTGAAGAATATTATACCAATGTCTGAAACTTTCTAACATCGAGATGATAAGAATTTATATGCCTTGAAGTAACAAATATGAATACCTCATCAATACTTACGCAAAATACGTAGCTTCTGAGTCATCATGTGTTCTGAACAACCTAACTGACTGACAATAAATTCTTACTCACAAGGTCAATATACCATATCTAGGTTTAACTCAAAGTCCCAAACCTATGATATCAAATGCATTTTTCGATAAAATGAAAAAATTACCTGGTAAGTACCAATATTTACCGGATATTTTTAACTCCCTATTACTAAATCTCGTTATGAATTTATACTGTGACACCTGCTTCGTTGTATTTTGACGCGCATAATCTGGTAATAATCTATAACTCAAAGTGAAGACGTCCTTAAGCTCACAGTAAAGATGAATAACAAACGAATAAGGTCGATTGATCAACATCAACATAGACCCTAGAACATACGTGCGTTAGCCTCAGTCAGTTCACTCAGTCAGTAACAACGTAGAACTTCGTACGTACGTACATCGATTCGAGTTGCCACACCACATTAGCACAGAGATGCAGTTTTCGACTCAAATCCCGTAGTGCTAGTAAGAGTATTAGCAGTAATCGGAAACATTAGGGTTTGAAGATGTTATCCAAGGAGTATAATCCAGTGAAATAAATTTGGAAAGAAAAAAAACAAAGGGACACAAAGGATCCAGAAAATTAGAATTTCGGAGAACACAAAGAGTGGATGCACCTGCTCACACCATTGCAAACGATTTTGAGCCAAGTCATTCAGGGTCTCTAACCATCAGTTGCTATCATCTCGCGGTCACCAACTAGGTAGTCTACACCTACCAACATGGCTCAGTCCACTTGTCAGTGACTTCATAGACTTGTGCCATGTTTTGGTCTGGCCGCCCCTAGCTTTATTCTAACCTACGCCTACATCATAAAACATCGCACGTCAAGGCAGTCGGTCGTTGGGCATACGTGTCCCAGCAATCTCAACTGATGAAAGATCACTACTCCATCAATTGATTTGTTATCCTTACCCAGTACCCGTTTCCTAACAACTGAGTTACCTACTCGGAGGTCCAAGGATATACGAGCAACGTTTCGAAGACATCTATGATCGAATACTAGCAACCTACGAATTATATATTTATATATATTTATAAAGCCGTTGGCTGTTGTTTTGAAACATCTTGGTAGATGTAGACTACGTAAATTAGGTTAGTGCGATAGACATTGTGTGACATGATTCAGAATCGGTCATTGTCTCAGATGCATGTTATTTTATTTTAACACATAGATATTGGTACAAGAAGGCACCAAATACATATGCGCCACACAAATCTCATTTGATATGTGTGAGGGCTGTGATGCTGCCCGGGTGCCCAAACCGAAACAGGTGGTTTTCTTGGGGGACCACACCTGGAGCCTTTGACAGTACCCGTTTCCTAACAACTGAGTTACTTACTCGGAGGTCCCAGAATATACGAGCAATGTTTCGAAGACACCTATGATCAAATACTAGCAACCTACGAATATCCTCTACTCTTACCGGCCATGTTTCACTACCATAAAGTAGGACGGAACGAACTGCTGCGCTGTAAACACGTCCTTTAGTTGGTAGACGGATATCATGCCTACGCCATAAATGACGCAAGTTGGCAAAAATTAATCGAACCTTCTGTATCCGTGCTGAGATTTCGTCACACACCAGACCACAAGGGCTGATGAGACTTCCAAGATAAGTGAAGCGGTCGACACGCTCAACTACTTCACTCCCTACGTTAGTTCAGGTGTCGATGCAACCCAATCCTGAAGCAACATTTTGCATTTCGAGGGGGAGAATCGCATGCCGAGCATGCTTGCATTGTTGCTTAGAGTGATCAGAAGACTGTATTTTGTCAGTGTCTTCACCAAATAGAACTATGTCATCGGCATATTCTAAGTCAACAAGTGAATCTCCTGGTAGAAGCTCAACCCCTGGAAAGTTAGATGAGGAAAGTGTTATCTCTAAAAGCACATCAACGACAAAGTTAGCCTATTTTTTATTTTAACACATAGATATTGGTACAAGGAGGCACCAAATACATATGCGCCACACAAGTCAAATTCGATATGTGTGAGGGCTGTGATACTGTCCGGGTGCCCAGACCGAAACACATCATATTAGCACGATCAGACAAAAACACCAAGACAGACAAAGAAGTCAAAACAATAGTGGCACCAATGATAATGACAAAGATAGCATACAGAATATCATTTGAAAAACACGTGATGAAAATAACATATATAAAAAGCAACACAGAAAAACAGCTAGTAAATCTAGACTACTGAGACCAACCTTATGCCATTTTACCCAATGACTCTAAACAACGATTGCGGAAACCGCGTGGACCACGATCAGTCAGTTTGCATTTACCTATATTAAATCGGAATATGTTACGTGTGACAAGACCCTTGATATGGAATTTCGACTACAATGACTGACTTGACATACTTGATGGAATCTCTGCAGAATGCATTAACTCGTTCATAACTGACGCTTAATGAATCTAAGAAAAAAAGTACAGAATATAGAACTGCGAGATCCTCGTCACACTAATGTAGTCCACGCATATTCAGTGACTTGTGGAAAATTTTCCACAATTTAATGTACGTATAAACACCTAGGCTACTAGGGTGAATTAATGACCCATTAATTATGCGCAGTCAATATGTCAGTATATGACATGGTGTCGTGGTATGAAAGAAAGCTCCAAAGGACTGGCTTGTGTCGGTCCCTCACGACTCCCTGGTTGAGGTCCGAGAGATGGTGCTACACAGTGGCTAGACACGTTATCAGATATGACTCAGAATAGAAGCCAGTGGTGATCCTGCTGTAACCTTCTTTTAATTTCTTCACAAAAAGTGGTTGTATCTTCCTTAACTGAGAGATATCTTCTGATTGTACCTTTCTGTTCCCCTACTATCACTATTATTATTACTACACTACCTTACACCAATCTCTTCGTTAATGTTTTTTTACGTTCCTCATTTTTTTCTTAAATTTTCATTGTTTTGTGTGGTGCATATATATTTGGCGCACTCCTATACCAATATATATGTGTTCAAATAAATAAAAAATAAAGTCAATATGAGACACTAAGAATATTAAGAATGGTGAAAAAATAATTAAACCCACACGTCTTTTCCTGGACACCTCCTCAGCATCTTCCCGCATTTTTTCCTCCTCTAGTCTTCTAAAATATTCATCATCATCTAACTCATCTTCAAGGCCTACATTAGGCTCATCTGAATCACTTGACTCTAGCCACGGCTGGCTTGGGTCAATTGGACGTTTTCGGGCTCCATTTCTACTACCCTTTGGACGTCCACGTCTTTTACTTTGCCTTCGTGCCTCAGCTGAGAAAAAATAGACATAATTTATTAGTTTCGGGTTATCAGATACATGTACAGCCACTATCAATCACTAGTACTAATGGTTAAGACAAAAGTTAATCAGACTAACAATACACTTAGTTTCAATATAGTACATATTACGTAAATAAATTGCATAAATGTTAAATCTTAAGGTAACTGATAACTAACGTACAATTACTTGCGGTTACTGAGGTACTATCATCATCCTTTAGCATTTTCTCATAATTTATTAAGTCGTTCTGACCGATCACATTTTGTTTGGAGTTTTCTTTGATTTGGTCCCAATTTGCGATCTCAACAGGGTTGAGAAAAACGACTTTCGTCCGTTTTTTTACACCAGCCAACGCGCTGGCAGCACCACCCCCTGCAAGGCCATTCGTGCCAGCTGATGACGAATCCATTTCGGCCTCTTTGAGAGGCAAGGTAAGAAAATCTCAAGGTCACAAAAATGGTCCGGAGAACGGGCAAGCGCGCGTCGCAATTTTTTGAAAAATGCCTCAAGAACTTAAACAAACGTAGTATGAGGTTCACTCCTCACCATAATCTGCACAAGTTGAAAATAACTGTGCCACTCGAATCATTTCCATCCTCTGCCGGTTGTCATTTGCCATATATTTTTTACGAATGAGATGTTTCAGTTGACAAAACGCCCGCCATTTCAGATACTCCAGTAAAGTTCATGTAATGTCAATCCAACTACGTTAACTCGTTCTTCATTCCGCCTCAAAATTTGTCTTGAAATCTCTCTTTGAATCAGGATAACTAATCGACCATATTTTCGATTTTAACGTGGGTTCCTACAATCTCACGACTTATATCACGTGTTAGATGGGTTTATTTTGAGTTCGTTAAGTTGATTAAACTTGTAAAAACCCTAAAATTATGAGTAATCACCGTCTTTCTGTCATGTATTTGATATGAGGTCTTATCTTACATGTGGTGATGCAATTTTCTCTGGTCATTTATAATGAGAAAATTTACTCCAAATGTATGAACGTGTAGTGGCATTGTATTTATCTTTCAGCTTGTCAGTGTTATTATTTTTCGCAGTTATCTCCGACGCGTGACAACTTCAATCAATTTGGTATCGAACCAACGTCACGTTGATTCTTGCGGGAAAGTAGTGTAGTGGCATTGGACCCTAACCACATGACCATTGGGGCCGGGCATATAAATAATGAAAGGCTTTATATTCAACAACTGACAAGAAGAGAAATTCCACAATGAAGCAGGTGAGAAGGAAGGCATGACTCAGCCTTTCAGGCATAGTCGTTCTGTATAACTTGTCTTTACTCACACTAAATATATTATTCTATCCTTAGCCTAAATGTGTTCTGCACAACCACACTCATATGACTTTCATGTAGTATTTATAGATTATGAAGTCACATCATGACGTGTCTGAGATTTAAGGATTAGGTTTATTATTAGCATTTTAACTAACAATTCGAAAACAGTGACTTATATCGTTCGTTTTATCAAACTGTGACTTCCTTGAAACTTTTTCGAAGCTGAAAAGCTCATATGTTCGTACCGTATTTTCAATATATTGAATTCAGTGTTGTATGATGTATTTCTTTTATTTATCTCTAGAAAATATTTGTGGAGTTTTTTGGTTACTTTTACAACACTAAAATTTTAAGTTTTTTACCTCATGAAAGTATACCGTACCAGTCCTGTGTTTTTATTAATTTGATTGTACTTGCGTCACTAAAAAAATGCTATTTGGCCAAACTATCACAAATTTGACTTGTTATTCTTTTATTTACGTATATTTGATGGTATTTTGATGTATGCACATATTAAGACGCATATAGTACCCCCCCCAATATTTCATTGCTTAAGATGCTGAAAGTTGAAACTCGGTGGTGAGTTTTAAAATGAAAATGTAATTAGTATTTTCCTTTTAATTGAAAGAGGTAACGCAAAACAGGTGTTATTATCTCCTTATTTTCCGCATTATTTCTCCAAGAAAAAAGAAGGATGCCAATCACCGTTTCATAGTGCTTTCAAAACCTACTTAATTTCTTTATCGTCACTTTGCATCGTGCGTATATCAAAAAATATATAACAAGTAAAATTGTTAAAACTCCACCTGGAGTCCTTTTAGGAATTTGCCGGTCCCACGTCGAAGACGTTTTATGGAACATCATGTTGAAAACAGAGATTTTTCAGGAATTAAGAGCTTTATATTCCTCTTAACAATCAGATCAGAAATTGACATAGATCTGTGTAATGTCGAGACCATGAGGAAGATCAGGAGGACCACTTCAACAGTTGCGCAAGTGAGAAAATACAATGTTGTGAGGACAGGCACAAATACAACCTACTGGACCTAAGCCATACAGGAAAGAACAGCCTTAAGGGAGGTATTGTTTCACTCTCGTGTGATGTTTATATGAACTAACGATTCGTTTGCATTTGTTGAATGCTTGAAATCGAATTCCAAATAAAATACATTTATTTGTAATTATTCAGTGCCTCTTGACGCAATTGCGTTATTTCTGAGATTCCTAGTTTATACTATAATTCAAATACTCCTAATCATCTTATCTCGTCGCGAAGAAAAGTATAAAAGCTGGAGTTGATCGTCTGGAAACCCTTCAGAACATGACTCGATAATTCTGACCTGAGCACTAAATGCTCTGGTTGAAATGGATAACACTAGATATGAAGATATAAAGGAACAACTTAGACTGGGGGAAAGGAACAAAAATGGGAAGAGATTCGCAAGCCCATATCCATTCAATAACCTGGTTATAGATGGCACAATATTCCAACACAAACGCATACACAACGCTGCATGGGTCTCGCTGAATCCACACCACAGAGAACCAGTTAGTTCATATTTCTATAAGTACAAAATTCACAAGACTAATGGGAGAAGTGATAATCAAAAGGGGAGCTGACATAGATTCAGATCACTATCTGGTTGTGGCCAAGATGAATTTGAAATTGAAGAAGCACTGTACAACAGGGAAAAAAGCATAACAAAGGTTCAATATAACCTCTTTTCGACATTCTGACGAACTCAGTGAGTTAAATATAACTCTCAACAACAGGTTCCAAGCCCTACAGCATCTGCAGAAAGGAGAACAAACTACTATGGAGGACGACTGGAAAGTCATGAAAGAAGCATTAACTTGAGCGTGTCAGTAGGTGTTGGGTCTCAGGCAGCACCTCCATAAAAATGGATACCTCTTGAAATCCTGAGTAGGATTTGTGAAGAAGACAATAACTAACAAAAGCCGGACAATAACAGAAAAAGTGGAAGATTCGGTACTTCAAATATCCACACATCATTTTTTCAACAGCTCATAAAAGTAAAATATTTTTCAGAAAAACCGTCACACTACTACTCAATGAACTTAATCTGACAGCCTTACAGAGCGAGAAGATTATCATTTTCATTTCATCATTACCTATTATGGGTACAGGCATATTTTAGAGACCGAGATGACGTCGAGTATGTAGACTGTGAATACTGGTATGGCGAACTATCGGTTTCAAACAGCTTGTAGTGCCTCCTGTTAAATCACATTATGTGATGTAAGCGATCGCTATATTCATAAGATGTTTACTTTGCAGACTATCAGGTTCATACTGTTTTAATATTCCATAATTTATGCATGTTGTTGATTAATGAACTGATATGTTTAGATAATGCCCTGTAGCGGTAAATAAATCCCCAAAATAAATAGCTCTGTAGGTTTTCGACATTGGATGCTGACCATATGTTTTAGTGGACTCATCTAGCTGAAGGCGCTCGGTCATGCATCCGCACCAGATCACGTGTGGTAACGCTGTGCTCAACATCAACCGCAATCACTAGCCAGATTAGATCAGAGATTCCCGATATATTGGTTATCGCCAAATACACTCTTCCGATCTCCTCGACTCTGACTTTTGATTTCTCTCGGTGGAAACAAAGTATATTAGAAGGTGTTACTGGTAGAAGCGTTGTCAAACACTGAATACCTGTATCATCCTCATTGGTGAGACCGTCATGATTTGGTACACCTAATTGCAAATGTGAGCCTGTTTCTTTTTGGGATTTTTATATATTATTGCCTCGTTTTTTATACATTGTGATTTTTTTTCGTGTTTTTCCTTGGATATATATATTTTCCCCTCGTTCATTATCGTACCTCATATATCATCATGGCTGAACAGATACCCAAAGTACTCAAGCTTAAGACTTTGTCCCCGCCTTCGTTTCAACTCATGCTTTTCTGGACCGACAATATCGAAGTCTGGTTCTGCTACGAAGAAGCCGACTTCTCCGACCATGGCGTGAACGACACAGGTGCACAATTCCTCACAGTAGTCAAGGCACTAACGCGCGAATTAAACAGGTACGTAACACCTAGTATGTTTACTAGTGATGTTTCCGAACCTTACGAAATCCTGAAACGTTCGATTCTTAAACGAGGAGACCTAACTGACCGACAAAGGTTAGATCAACTAATCAATAACATCGACCTGCAACACAGTTCTGCGACTGACATGTTGCAAAGAATGAGAGAAGTGATAGGCCTAAGGACTTTCGACGAAGGTCTATTTAAACAACTTTTCTTGTCTAAACTTCCTCAACAGGTGCAAGCGGTTCTGGTCTCGTTTCAGAACAACGCCTTAGACGAGCTAGCTGCATCTGCCGATCGTATTTTAGAAACAACGAAATCGTCTACTTCAGAGGTATTTTCCGTCAAAGAAAAGCCTCACACGACTCAGAATGACATAACCGAGTTATGTCATACACTCACGCGTTATCTTAATCTTCGTAACGACCGTAGTCGCTCACGCAGTCCACGTAGAAGCATTTCGCGTAAACGATCTGTCTCTAGACCACGAGAGACGGATAACCCTGACTGGTGCTGGTATCATAACCAGTATGGAAAATCTTCCAGAAATTGCAGAAAACCCTGCAATTTTCCCAACACGAAAACGACTGACTCAAAAAACAACTCGGGAAACTTCTAAGCCGGCACGCGTTAACGGCAACCGTAGCCGGCGAACATAGCCGTCTGTTGTACGTCACAGATGTGACAACGAGAGTTCGCTACCTCGTCGACACTGGCGCAGAAGTTAGCGTTCTCCCAGCAAATCATAACGACCGGCTCCACAAATCAACTCTAAACTTACAGGCGGCGAACGGGAAACCGATCGCCACGTATGGCAAAAGGTACGTCTACCTTAACGTGGGTTTACGCAAACCCATTCATTGGATTTTCGTTGTTGCAGATGTTTCTATGCCAATCATTGGTATGGACCTTCTACAACATCATAATCTAATCATCGACACGCGCAAACGGAGGCTAGTAGATGGAAACACTAAATTATCCGTTTGCGTAACTTCCTTTTCTGGTTGTAGATTATCCCCAGTCACAGTTAAGCATATGAT